TGGGTTGCACCTCCAAATTATGCAGCATTTCAAGCATTCATGGGGAAAAACTCCTGCAGGATATTTCGAAAAATTCATGAGAAAATCTATCCTCATTTTCACACTACTTATTCATACTTTTAAAGTTTCACCATGAGTTGCAAAGTAAGCAGGAGTATGAGTTGCAGAGTGCAGAAACTCGTATATCAGTCCACACCCTGATTTTATTTCATAACTGGTGAAAAAAAGGTTTGGAGGTGCCTTCACAATGAAAATGTTCTACCTGTACTTTTACCTCTAGTGTGCATTTCCTCCCCTCACAGGCCAAAATCAAGTCCATGTCATGTTGCTGTGTTATTCTGTCCGTTAAAGTCAGAGTCTCTCATTTAGAGTTTGGAGAAACAGAGTGGACCGTTGAAACATTAATAAAGAGGCTGTCCAGTTTTGGTGATAAAATGCATTCAATTAATTATTAAGAAAATTCCAAACAGCACTCATCCCAGCTCAAACTTTTATGTCTCTCCCTTTCAGCTCTACCGTTTGACCCAAGCAACCGAATCAGAACGTATAGCATCCATTTCTGAAAATTAAAAGCTAATCATGCATTAAGGGTTTAATTATCCTTACTGTAAATGTGCCAAGAGACATGTTTGTCATCAAGCCCAATGTGAAGAAGATTTCTCTGTCAACAAGAACAAGGATTTTTTGTATCCATCATAAAGGGACTGTAACGGTATAGGTGCATCTTAGTGAATATTAGGGCACTGTTGCACTATCTTAATGAGTCCACGGAAACTCAGAACGCCAGCATTGACAGCAAGTGATTTAAACATCAGTGAAATTATTTCTGATTCGCTTTTAATGTGTGCTAAAAAATCATTTACACTGCAATTATACAATCTAGATATATATTCTGCTTTATATAAAAGCTGCCTTTTAAATCAAACTGACAGCGATTTCAAAGTCATAAAATAGAAAAGAAAGCTTTCAAGTTCTTTAAGTTACTTAATATCCTGCAGCCTGCTTAGATATTTGAGATGTGGAGAGGAAGTGAATCATCTTCTCTGCATGTTGCACATGGACTCTAAAATTATTTTTATAAGAGGTCTAACATGGTTGCCCCCTGTGGTATAAAAAAATCTTCAGAACATAGAAGCTTACTTGTGAAAACATTACCTCTTGGCATCTCTTAATTGGCTCCCTGTAACTTTGTAGCTTTATTCTATAACTGAAGTAAACTTTTTTCAAATTTCCATCATATTCAACAGAGTTTCCAAAAATCCACAGCCTTGTGAGAGCAGTGTGGGCAGCCAGTTTCTCTTATACATAAAGTCTGTGGAACAGTTTCTACTTTACATATTTACACGCACTCTTCAGCTTGTAAATGTTTTATTTGATCTCATCCCTCTGCAGACATGAGATCCACTCATATCTAAAACTCAGTCCACAGTGCCTTACCGCAGTTTGTCTGACACATATTCCTTCTTTTCTGATATTCTGAATGTCCAGGTCCATATTGTTTTTACAGTCCATCAGTCAAATAATGATTTTGTACCATCCATATATCCTCTGGAATGTAATGATGAACAGCTAAGAAACGCATTGCTTGTATAACTACAGTACAGCTCAAAGATAGGGGATTTAAAACTGGTCTACTGGCAGACCAGGCCTGCATATTACCCACAGAATTTTTTTTTTGGGCCAGTTAAGTCAGTTTTTGTGAAGAGATATTGCAGTCTACGTCAGAAAAAGCAACACACGTAAACAGTCCTCAATTAACGTGTTGGAGCTCACATCAACCCACTTTTTGCCTGAAAACTACAGGGAGGTAACCCGGCCAACCAACCAGCAAATACAGAGACAAAACAGTGAGCATATTTCTCTAATTATGTGTGGAAAAACTAACCTGATGTGCCCCACATTGACGTCCAGTTTGGATAGAATGGAATACATTCCAGTCTGCTTTGCCTGAGAGAACAATGATAACAGAAACTTGCTGTCTTAGCAGGCTGTCTTCAGACCAATAATTGGAAAGCAGATGGCAAGTGAGTTTGGTCATTATATGGATGAGCTGCATCAGCAGTGACACGGCTTCATTCACTTGTTTTTGCTGCAGATTTCGGGTCCACTTTTGTGTTACTTTTATACTTCAATTCTTTGCACTGGACTTAACCAGATTCTTTGTTTCTATCAAAGATTAGAACAACAGGATGACTTACTGTCTGCTATATTTCTGATATATCTAACGCAGGGCTGATGAGCAGAGTGACAACAGGTGAGTAAGTGAGTAATCATTAGGAAACAGGTGTGGATATAGACCAATTTGTGAGGACTTTTGGTCGTAATTTCATGAACAGAAGGAAAATAAACTAAACCAGACACTAAAAAAGAAAATAATTCAAACATAGTACAAATGAAATGCACAGATTCATAACAGACCCGAAAAAAGAGGACTGAAAACTATAACAGAACACAAAAATGATAAAGATCTAACATAAAGGTCTGATTTAAAACAGATCCGAATCAAAACACAGAGCCAAGACTGAGTCAATACACTGCAAATAACCAACCAACCCTGTAGCACAGCCCTGCTCATAACCAAACTATTACAGGTCAAATTAGTCTTTAACTTCATTATGTTTTACTATTTTGTTTTTCCTTAGTTGGAGATTATTAGAAATATGTGCAAATTTTAGTTTTCCTCTTAGGGAACCTACTGAACACAAACATGATTTAAACTCATTTAAAAACAGTTTTTATCTTAATCTACTCCACTTCTCTATTTTTTTCAAATCCAGCAGGCCAACAGTGGCTCATTGTTGTCATCGAACCATGTTTTTACCACTTTTGTGTGTGGTTGTTTTACAGGCCTCTTTTTCCTCAGTTCATTGCCAGTTAATCAATTCAGGGCCACAAAGAGACAAACAGCCATGAAATCTCACACTCAACCCTGCAAATAACCAATTTACCTCACTTATGTTCAGACTGTGCAAGGAAGAGGGAGTAATCGGAAAGAACCCACACATGCATGGGAAAATCCTAATAATTTTACACAAAACTGTGGGAGAAATAGTGAACCATCCGGAATAGTACCCGCCACCGTGCCATAGATTAACTGGTTTCCATTTCCGAATGGTATATCTGCTCATGATTCAGTACACAATTTTGAATATAACAATCTTGATCACAGTCTTTCCAAATCAGTGTGTTATAGCAAATAGATTTCTGGTGAGTGTTTTAAGTGAATGTGTAAGCCACTGAGAGGAGAAGTTTAGCAAATCTCCATCTCCATCTAGTGTTGAGCAGGAAAACTGCAATAAAGGCTCCCTATGAAGGGGAACTGTAGCAACAACCAGGAAAGAAAAATATTCTTTTTTGTATATTTGTATAAGACATCTAAAGATCTGAGCATTTTGCCAACCGGAAGTGATTTCAAGTGGTTATTTTTTTTAGATGAAAACTATTAAACTTCTTTTCTGTGTTAATGTTTGGAGGCAGAGAAAGACTTCTGTTTTACATTATTTTCTGCAAAAGGACATGTTAAAAGGTTGGTAGTTATCAATCATTTCAACTTGAGACAGATCAATTAATAGTAATGTTACTTTCACAGATTATATTGAAACTTGTCATAATAGTGGAATAGAATTTTTCATAACCGTACAATTAGAAAATAGCACACACATGCCCATTGTTTAAATGGGAATTCATTATGATGGCGTGATCATTTGTATGTATGGTACATGACTGTGTCTTTGTCTGCGCACTTGTGTACAAGCAAAGCTCTGTGTCCCACTGAGAGCCTGAATAGAAATTATTTTCTCCTCCAGTGTTCTCCGCCTATTCCCCTCCTCCTCTCCTGCTCTCTCTGATCCTGGTGTTCTTTTTTCCCCGTCCCACCATCATGGTTGTTATGTAACTCGGGGAAAGGCAACATACCGCTCCTTGTCTCAGCAGCAACTAATTAAAATAACCAAACAAATATGTTTAAAAAGACAGCATCTTTAGTTTCTCAATATTAGTTTCCATAACAAAACATGTGTTTTTTTATAAGTTTGAATTTTCTTATTCTTTGCTGAACAACCCAGCTGCTTCACTGTTCACTGTAAACAAAATTCCATCATATCCTGTGGCTCTGATAGTTTTTATAATGAGAAAAATAACATATGTAATAAAAATTTTTAAAAAGAAATTGTTGAGAAACATCAGAATCACACAAATACTCAAAAACATTTACATTAAAAAAATGCATGGCTGTGCAAAAGATACTATCAATGCACATCACACTAACAGTATATCAGAGTGGTGTCATGCTCTGTTCTGCTTAAAGCAGGATGCCAGCTGTGCCGAACATATCAGTGACTGTAAACCTCCATTATTGATGAGAGAGACAATACACTTTTGTTCAACTGATGTCTTAGGTACATGACGTGAAAATAATTCCAAAAATTCAAAGGTAGCATGTTAAACCACAAGAGAAGTCCACTGTCAAAGTCTAAATCAGTCACATTGAATTAGGATCAGTATATGATGCAATAGCACTTAACTTTAAAACATCTGTGAGCAACGTAAGGTCACTGCTAATATTCACAATAACTTTATCAATCTATAACAGTACGACACCCACATGATCCTACAGCACAACATAAATCAGAAAGCCATCTTACCCTGTTCAGGTAATCAGCTCAATAAGATAAAAGGACGAGTCTAAAATATGAACCCAAACTTTATGCTTGCTCCCCAATGTACATTATCATAATTGAACTCATTAAAGACAAGAATTGAAATGGCACTTGCTGGGAAAATTAACTCTTCCTCAAATGCTTGAATTAAATACTAAGACCTTGAAGTTTATTAAGGTAACTTGATTAGCATTGGTCAGTACTGTTTGTTGTTTGCAATTACAAGTTAAATTAAACATGGAAAAGTAAGGTATCTTATCTTTTTATTTTATTTGCATAAGTTGGAGGCGTTCTCTTTCTCAAATCTGATTGGCTTTCTCCAGTGTCTGTCACTCATCTATTGACGCCCTTCTTCTAGCTACTTCCGCTTCTGTGTCAAGACAAGACTACACACTAAATTCCTGCCCACATCCTCTGGACTTGCCAAAACATTAACACTTCTAATTCAGCCAAGGTAAGCTAAAACACATTAACATATTTTTCTTATGGTGTTCTGTGTCAATTTCAGAGGAGTACATTTTGCTTTTCCTTTTTTTTCATGTTTGAAACTGTTGGTAGCTATGCTAGTTAGCCACCTTTTTTTTGTAGCCCGCTCGGTTACTGTAATGCAAGCTGTCAAAAAGCTCAGAGATGCAGTGAGAGTCGGTACTGCCAGCCTGGAGTGGTGTTGCTTGAGATCAAAAGTGGCCCAAATGTCTATTTATATACCGTATTTCAATTGAAATAGTTGCTATTATTAATATACGTATTCTTTTTGGGCAAGCTAGATCGATACCAGATTTTACGCAATATGCTGGCATATTCAGGATGGTTCTGAGTTCTGATGTTTGAGTTGCTGGTTCAGGCTTTGTTGGATTTTCCTTTTTTTAAAACAGGTTATTTTAACTAAATCATGCTGCTAATGCAGGCAGTCCAAAATCAGCGCGATGAAAATACAGATGGTTCGAAGAGAAGTGTGTGGAACCCTACAAGCCCCATAGCTGTAAGATTTACACGCACGAGCATCGCCTTTTTTACAGGTATGATACAGATCACAGTGTCCATTCCTGTTCCCACGTTTAATTGCTCAGCAGAAATAAGGAATGTCCCCCTGCCTGTTTCTCTTCCCACTGCCTCCATCGCCATTTAGATCTGAGTCGCAGGACAGACGAAACAAAGCCTTGTCTTGAGCTCGGGTTACTATCGGTCATTGACACGAAGGTTTGCTTTTACACAGCAGTGTTTTTATCTCCCCTCTCTGAGAGACCTTTCCTCTGAGGTAAACACTCTACTGCAGTATGGTAGTGTGTCGACCTGCTGTAATGGATAAATGTAAGCATATACTTTCGTATTTAAAAAAAAAAAATCTTATCATTTTATTAATAAAACAAACGTTATGTTTTAAGTGATGGATGCTCCAATACATACAAGCATGAGAGTAAAGGTTAATGCAGTTCTATGTGAAATATTGCTCTGTGAAGTGTTCAACTAGAGCACAAGAATAAGGAATTAGTCCAGTATAAAACAATTAATCTGAAAACATTGTTTTATTGCTCCATTACTCAAGACTTTTCCCCTTGAAATTTCAGTTGCTATTATTTTGTTTTGTTTCTTCCTCCCTGAGGTGCTCTAATTACCCTCACAGTAAGTTGCTATGGGAATGGTCTCTATTTGAAAGGGGAACATCCATCTGTACCAACGAATTGCCGTCCTCTCATCACAAGAGTGTGAGGCTGTTATGCAAAGACTTGTTTTGAGAGTTGTTCTGGCAGTTCAATGGTTGCCTAGTCGAGTGTTCTATTACTCCAAGTAAAGGATGATGCAGTTGTGCAATGTGTATTTTTGACATCTATGGTCAAATTTAAGGGAACAGGAAAACAATGTTGCAAGGCATGTCCTAAAAGTCAAGTTTCAACATTGCTGAAAGGAGCGTTGCAGCAGTAAACGAATGCAAAAAGTGGGAGTCAACCAAGTTTTTGCATTTCAATAAAAAATATTTTTGCTAATTTCTTGGTTTTCCAGTTGACAAATTATCATTTTTAAAAAGGATTAACGATTGATTTAGGTATGAAAAATCACGTAACCTTTAAACTTATATTTTTCTTCAATACTAATTTCTCAGTTGCATTAACAGGTACAGCACTAAACATGAAAATAGTGATTTGTCTGCATGTCAGTTTTGCTGATACACCCGTCTTTTTGTGTGTTATGCATCAGCAGTTATAAGCCCGTTTTAGCTAATGTTGGCAACCATCTTGGCAACAGAGTTATTACTGTATGTTTAATTTGTGATAGGACAAAGTAGCCGCTAATCAACCTCCACTTTTACACACAGCCATGTATTGTTTTTCTCTGCGTTTATTGGCTTAATGTCATAGGACGCTTATGTTAGTCAGCAAGGACAAACTATGAAAACAAGGCTACATAATATCAGCAAACTGTCAGCGTGGTAATTATAGGTACTGTAATTAAATATTGATCCTGATATCATTTCACTGCATCATCTACTTTTGCCAGCCATGTTATTATTTGAACAATTAATTTAACACAGATATCAAACATTATGCTCACCATAGGAGTGCTGTCACAGCCTTAATTCATAGCTGTCTTGCTAATTTAGATGCATGGATAATGTTGGCCCCTGTTTAGATGCAGTGCTCCTTCTGTGCATCAAACTGTATCATTTACACATTAATGAGCTCTACTGCAGCCACTTCATCAGCCATTCCATTTCGGGCTAGCTGGAAATAATGCAAAACCTGTGAACATCGTGCTTTGTTTGCGTTTTGTTCCCTCTTTCATCTTTCCTGTCGTTGTTCACTGATGGTGACAACAGTTTTTTGCCAGCATGTCAGACCAGTGTTTTCTCTGACAAAGCTGCAAACACAGACTAAAGGGCTGCATGGATTCTTAAGAAGGGACCATAACTTGGTTGTTGATTAATTTAATTTGATCATTCTCATCTGTCTGAGGTGGAAAAAAAGAACATTTGAAAAATTAAAAGTTAATATTGATTATTGACAATTTCCCACCTATATGCCGGCTGGACCACCAGAACACATTCACTTAGAACTCCTTAGCCCGAAAAAAATCAGTCTGTGTTTCTCAAAGCAACATTTCTGCACAAGGTGATGAAAGTGAAACTAGCTTTTGGGTGGGCACATTTAAGGTATCAAGGTATGATGCTGAGCAGGCTTTTCATCTATACACATCCTAGCAGCTTTTCCACCCCAGCAGGTATGGCCGGAACATGCTGACTCATTTAGCTGAATGGAGAGTTTTTATCTGTTTGTGGGTGTGTGGGTGTGTGTGTGTGGGTGGGTGTGTGGGTGTGTGTGTGTGTTTGGATCTGGCTCTGACGCTTTGCTACAGGGTTAGGACGGAGGTCAAGAGCAGAAACATGAAGTCTTACTCATCATCATGTTATGTCAGGCTGGGACAGCCATGGTTGGTTGCTCTCAATATCACTTTGTTTTTTTTTATCATTCAGGTCTTGATTACAGATTTGAAGTTGGTCTGTAAGGTAATAGATGAAAACTGTCACAAAATAACAGAATAGCATATTAATAAAGTCACTTTGGTGGGAGGGTGCATGGAGTTTACATATTAAGTCAACAAAAGAATTTAGCTAATTCTGATAACTGTTCACTGGAGCACTGCAATGTATGAACATGATTATATCTGTTTATGAGTTTGGAGCTCTTTATGGTGTCTTGCTCAAAGGTAGATGTGCTGCGACTGCAAAAAAAAGAAAGGAAAATAAATTATAGAAAAAGGTGTTGAATCACTTTTTCAGAGAAAAATTAAGTTGTTTTTTTCCAGCTCCACTAGATTCGGGGTAAGTAGGTTGAATACAGTTTTGCCCTTTTTTAAGACTTTATTTCTGTATTCGTTTAGCTGCACTTCTTATAGGAGTCGGTGCTCCAGATCCTGTATTCAGATCAGAGCTGCAGTTGGATGCAGTGCATAAATGTTCTTAGGTTAGTCTTGTGATTGAGGTTGAGTGAATTCGATTTCATACTTTAATAAAAAAGTCATTTGTGGACTATTGACATTTAAAATCTCTTCTGGTCTTATGATGCGAACCTCAGTTGTCCTGGCTGCAGGCAGTGCAGATATGACTTGTTACCACAGATGATATAGAAGATATCCTATAGAAGAAACTTAATAGCATGGAAATAAACTTATATATGACTGGACATACACACGCAGAGGGTGTGGTTGTTAAGGTAATTAACTAACAAGACTAACTGGTTATTGGACAGATTAAGCCTTTAACTGTTCAGAGTTCACAATCTTAGAAGATTCACTTCTCCATAGCAACTGTCCTCCAGTGAGCTCCTGATCTAGTTTTCTTCTTCTTCCGTATTTTTGCTGAACAGATTAATGCTCCAACAGGAGCTGGCGCAAAATGCTGCTGTGTTTGAACTCGGTCTCACACAGTTGCCTGTCTTTGCTTCACATTTCCTCTGTTGCCTGTCAGGCTGCATTCACTCTAAGGCATTTTCACAGATTAGCAAATGAAACACATTCACTTCTTTCCCAACTTTCTGCATGAGCATGAATGTTGGAACCAAACATGTCATACAAACAGATCTGATAAAGTGTACTTGCGGCAATCTATCCAGGGCATAACCCGTCGTCTGCTAGAGCTGGGTTGGATTCTCACAACCTCCGAATTGGATAAAGTGCTACTGGATGGAAAATTAGAAGTATTGTCTGTCCATTGTTCCATCATTGATATATTTGGCAACCAGTTTGCAGTGTAATGAACATCACATGGTAGTTTTTGGTGTCTCGGGGCTTGAGTGACATCCAGTTCTAAAAATCAATGTGTCCAATTGGGTCCCAGCCTTTATCAAATTACATTTTCAGGAAAGTTACTCGAGCATGAGGAGAGGTTATTGTCCATTTTGAGAAGATATTGATCTTGCTAGACACAATTTTATTCATATGAAATAAACTAGTTTCTGTTTCTCAATATTATGTTGAGAATGTGAAATATTTAGGATATTTTTCGTCCTTTTCTGCACTTCCACTAAACCCCTAAACGGTTCCGTGCGTTGGTTACATTGAAAGTCATGTTGTCATTTCTGGTTGTAGAGTTCTTCCAGTTGTGTGCCTCAGTGTTTGTGTAAAATTGGCTTCATGTTTGTGCTTCATGTGCAACAGAGGCGTGTCAGCTATTGAGGTAGATGCTTAAAGAGAAGTGTAGAAGTGTGAGTCTGTCAGTATCAGGCTTTGTCCTGCACAACTCCTCTCCGTTCTGTCATTGCTCCTGTGGCTTTGGATGTTTTTGACAGCTCTCAGAGGACCACAGTAATCACAGGCTCATCAACCCAGTGTGCACTTTGGTAGGTCTGTCTGAAAAACAACAGAAAATGACCACAGATATTCTGCGTCTATCTTTTCGGGCTTGTTATTTTGATCTGTATAAGCTGTGGTACTGGCTCTGTCTGGCTTTATTTGAGCTGAACCTGTCTGATAGTTTCATTATTTAAGCAACATATTCCAGACAAAGATGTTTTGGACTTCAACTCTGTCAGTTACATTTTATAACTCGGTATTTGTTGTTTACATTAGAAGGGGGAGGCTAGCCATTTATAATGAGGTCATACGTGATAAGTTGTTGTCCAAGAATGTTTGTCCCAGAAGTGAGTGTTTGTGGTGTCCATTGTTTTATGCCGTCTGTTTGGCCATCACAGGGGTGGTGCGAGGCAGATGTTAATGCTGCACAGTTCAGCTTATGATGTTATGACTGGATCCCACAGCTCTTCTTCAGCAGGCTGTAATTTATGGCCTAGGTTAAAAGCAAAATGGTGAATCTGCGATAATGCATGCAAATCTAATTTCCTGCCAAGTTTGCTCAATTAGCACATGTACAGACATAAATGGCATTTTGTTCCGGTGCTGGAGTTTGGAATCAAATTTCTCGCTGCATCAAAGATAACATGTTCAGGGCCAGAAAAGCAAATGCTGCCTCGATTTTTGAACGGGAGATACACACATACCTTTTTGTTAAATGAGATTGGAGTGGATTAGCCGGGCATTTGTAGAACACGGAGTACTGAAGCACGGAGGCATGAAATATGTGATAAGGGTTATCACAACTTAAGGTTAGACCATGTCTCATCTCCTCCCATTTCACAACTTTACATGTGCTACACTCTTACAATTGAATTTGTTTTATGCCCCTTTTAGCCTCTGGCTAAATTGGTTCTTTTTCAAGGAAAGCCCTTTATATCATGAAGCTTTGTGTCATATCAGGCTTTATCCTGTCGATATTGGTTAGATATCTACAGTCAACTCCCACTTTGCAGTCTCTTTGTGTTAGTTTCAAATGAGTAAATACATCTTCTCTGTGTTTGTTTTTAATGTAATCTAAAGTTAATAGCACACATACCAAATCCAGAAGGAAGCAGAGGTGGACACTGCGTTTGCTGTTTAGGTTATTTGAATAGTTTGAATAGCTGCTTGCTGTACACTCTGTGGGCCTTATCGATTGTAGATGCTGAGGCCAAAGTTCCATTTGTGCTGAAGGCGTTAACTATCTCTGGCAAAGGTAAAATCCATGCGGCATGCTGAACAAAGGCAGAGTAAGAGGAAAGGAAAGGGAGAGCAGTTGTTTCTTACCTGATTCAGTCGCTCACACTCTGAATTTAACGTTATGAATTCAGTTGTGCTCGGATTTATTGGCACTAGAGGTATGTAAAGATTTCCTAATACATATGATAGGTGTTGTCTTTTAGTACTTTGTTGGTCTTTCATTTCTAAAAGGTTTGTACACTCTTCAGAGACTTAAAAGATAAAAAGTTTTATTTTTTATATGATTAGTATTTCTTAAAAAGTTTTTCATACACAGTCTTTTCTAATTTACTGTTATAATGGAACACTGTTCAGGTCGGGTTGCACAATTAAGACAGAAAAGGACTTTGATAAACACAAAATTCAGAGCAAAGGAGGAAAGATAGTCAGGCTAATTTAAGCTTTAAAAAAATGTGCACACTTGTTTGTTATAAAGGTGAACATTCTCAGTAGAAGGATTTCAGTGTCTCAGCAGTTTGACGGCATTATTGTTAGCTAACTTGATCAGAGTGACCATCTTTCCAAATGCACTGAATGAACCAAATTCCAGTAATTGGAACTTGGCACGTTCACTGTTTTCCAAGTGCAGGAACACTTAGATTCTGTCGAGCAGCAGCCAGACGCCGACTATCACACCAGCTACCTGAAGCTGCATGAGCTGTAAAGGTAAATAGGACTGTGGAGCCACATCTTGTTTCTGTTTCTAAAGCCCGTGTAGCCTCCAGCAATATCATACACTCAAGGTGAACTTTTCACATCCATTGTTAAACTACTTGAACTTGAAATTCATTCGCTCGTGTGTAACTGTCAACTCCCTGCCGAGCAGGCTTGCTACCATAGTCGAGTATGTTGTCAAAGTAGCCGTGTTTGCTTTGCTTTGTTCCTGTGCTGGAGGAGATTTCCTGGAAGTAACCATCAACCTGCTTTTCTCGCTATTTGAATATGCCTCCTTCCTAACTTTCCCCATAGAGCTAGCTACTTTTACGTAATGGGATCAGATTGAACTCTTCTTATGATATCACACATCTCTTTTTCTCACAGATTTTTTAATAGTCCAGATCAGTTCAAGTCTGAATGTTTAGAGCGTGTATCTGAAGTGAAATAAGTGAATGGTGAGAGAATGAATTTAGCTTTGTTGTGCTAGAAAGGCCATTTGATGCTGTTGGTGTCTAAGCAACTACTGAGCACCAGCCACAAACAGTGAGTCAACATGTGAGTCAACATTTGTCAAATGTGCCATTTGGGCTTTGTCATTGTCATGAAACGGTCCAGTTTGGTTCATGCAGACTGTAGTGTTAGGAGAAATGATGTGACGGAGTCGGTAAGAATTATGTTCTGTCATACTGAAGTGCAATGAAGTGGGCAACAATACTGAACCAAATATAAAACAATGTGTTGTGCTGCCTAAGAAGAGAAGTGTCTGCTTCCTCCTAGAATTGGATCAGCGACTATTTGACTCATCGATCTGTTGGCTTCCGTTGATTGTGTTATACTAAAGAGTCCCAGCCTTGTTTTTTGGGTGGTTTTATTCCTGCCGTTGGTGGTCTGGTTATCCTCAACGCAGAGGCATTTAGGCCGGTGCAGTCAAAGTTTGCTTACTCTGTTTTAAAGCAACAACTGCAGGGTAAATCAACCTATTATAAATAACAAAACAAATAAAAGTCCACTGAAATATAGTCTATTACATTCAGGGTTTTGAGTTGAAACTTTGTGGGGCTAACGTACCAAACAGGGGATAACAAAGACTCGAAATGCCTGTGACAGTGGTGTCCTGATTATGTAACTACTGGACTAGAAAACTCTCTGTTTGCACTCATTGGCGCATGATGGACAAGATTGTTGCTCAGACAGACTAAGCAGATTTTCAGCCCAGAGCCCAAATAGCTCGGCATGACCTCCAGCATGTTTTCTCATTAGAAATTTTACCAGCGTTTTACAGTCTAGTAAGGAACATTACAGTCATCTGAAAAATACAGTGTTCTTTTCTTTTCCTTTGTCAGTTCAATGCTTCAGAAAAGGGGAAAAAAGTAACATTGTTGGCTGTTGTTTTGTTTCACTGCGATGCCAACAAACAGATGATGGATTAGATAGTGTTGTAATGTTTTCCATCTATCTCAAATGTATTAACTGTAATAATTTGTTTGTTTGTTTTTGTGCCTACAGGTAGCTAATTCGCCAAGTTTAGCAACACCAAAGGCAACTTATCTCTCAAGTTGTGGTCATCCTCTTGGTGTCTGGTGACTAAGAGGCTCACCTCCTCCGACTTACATCTCCAGGTGTCAGTCTTCTGTAGTCAGACCATCATAAATCAGCATAAACCGGACTCTGGCACCATCGCTGCTGACTTTGTGACACTGCAGAGGGTCCCTGTCCACAGCTTTCCTTTCAGAAGAGCTCTGTTGGGACACTACCAAAAGGAACATGTGCTAGAAGCTGAACATCTGTCCCAAACTGCTGGTTGGATTTGACTGTAGAAGATGAGCAATGAGGATGAGTTTTACGACGCCGTCACTGGTGGGTGCTCAGTGTATGTTTTTGTCCCATTTGCCTTCTGGCAGATTAAGGTTATTAGTTTGTGGTCTAAAATATTTCTCAAAGAAAAGGATAGGAGTAATCTCACCCAAATTGTAGATTAAAAGATAGATTTTTTTTCTTTTTCTTCTCCTGTTCAGGTATGATTAAAAGTTTTTTAAATGTGTGTCAATGTGCTATTCTGCCTCTTATCCAGTTCAAGTGATCAAATTATATAGAACTATGTGAATGAAAATTAATATACTCCAAATATTGAACCATGTCTAACTCTCAAGGATAAACTGATCAGACAGGAGGCATGAAACCCCAAAGCAGAAATCAAGACATCTCTGTTTTTTAGTATTAAACCATCCAGTGGGATCTAATATGCATCACTGATGATCAGTTGAATTATTCAGAGGTCGGCTGTCTCACAGTCCTGAATATCTTTGTCATTGTTGTGTTTTAGAAATGAATAAAATGGAAAGACAGGAGAAAAATAAGCTAAATTACACTTTGTTTTCCGAAGAATTGGTATCTGATTAAATGTTCAATTACAAATTGAGATTTCTTTTCTTTTATTGTAATAATTTTACAAAACAGGGAAAGCCTGGTGGGGATAGCCCGCAAATCAACACAGTGTTTGTTCAATATCTTACATTGATGTCCACAATATCCTCATTCTTTGAGTGATAGCACTGATAGTGATAGTCTTTGTGTTATTAGTCTGATCGTCTTTTTCATGTGAGACAGATGCAGACCAGAGCTGATGCATCATTCATTAGTTTATGTCCAGTTAGTTAAATGTCATTAGCATCAGGTGTCATCCAAGATGACCTTGAAATTTAAACTGCATCTCAAATTTTAGGCAGTGGCTGTGGGCTACATTTTGTCACAGACTTTTTTTCTGTTATACGTTGAAAAAAAAGGAGTGGGAAAAGTGAAACTGACTTTGTGTGTGGATAATACTTTTGTTTCAGCTTCATGAGATTAATATTGATATTTATGAATACTAGTTGAGAAAGCTGTAAACAACTATAGAAATATAAAAATTATTCCTGTTTTCTTGCCTGTCAGGAAAAAAAAAAGACAAAATGTAATTTTTGTTTTCAGAGGAAGTTCATGATCAGGGCCAACATGGCTTAGTGACCGGTTTAAAGGATTGATGAATAAATGTGGTTAAGTTGGTTTTAGGGCACACGTCGTTCCTCAGGTACACACCCTTCCCTTCTGGATATGTTTTACACAGAATATAGGCGAGAGTCATTTATTGCTGGCGTGACATCAATTCTGTGACATCCATGAATGCACATCTTCCATATTTTGATTTATTACTGACAGCTGAGAGGGTGTGTAAGCTGACTAATGACAAACTCTTTAGTTCTCCTCAGCTCGTGTTGTCCTCAACTCCACCCTGCAGCATGATTTAAGGCATGTGCTGTGGCACAACCCAGTTCAGTAAACTGATGAAAGGAAAAGCCTGAACAGAGCATAACATGACATTTTAGATATTATTTTTATTTTTATGCCATATACATTTTTAAAAGATAGCAATAAGACTGTTTATTGACAGTCTTTATACATTGATATCTTCAATTTGACTCATGACTACGAATAAAGAAAATAGCTTAAAATTGACTCACTGCTGTTTCTGTGAAGAGATTAGTTGGGCAAACTGTTTGAAGACGATCAATAAAATTTGCCTGTTAAACACAGGCGAAAAGTTCCTGATGCAAAGCAATATGCAAAAGCTGGGGTTGTCCACAATGGCCCACTGTTGCCAATAAAACCCTGAAATTTAGTCCAGAGTCTATTTATTCTAATGGGGAGCTTTTGAAATGGTTGATTTTCACATCTGCACAGAGTGTGACCTTCATTTTTTCTTCTCCCGCAGGCCTTGATTCAGACGAGTCGTACGAGGGCGTGTCGGAGGCCAGTTTCAAAGATGCGCAAGTGTTTGACTGCAGCAGTCAGAAAAACAATGGCTCAGTACCACAAGAGAATGGCGTCAAGAAACACAGGTACTCCCACATTCCTGCAAGACATTCCATCTGCTGTGTGCACCCATCATGTCCTTTATAGAAACTATTTGAATCCTTTTTTCTCCTGATACTAAAAAAACAGGGCTGTGTCACATTCTGTACTTTGAAAGAATTTGTTTCAAACAGACATTTGTTTTCCCACAACAATTTACTGACATTCACGCTCAGTGGGGCTTACTTGGTTGTCTCAAATAAAAAGCAATTTCTACTTCACGTTTTTTATGGTTGTCAGAATGTGGCCCACTTGAGGTTCACTCCTTTGTCTGCATAGCTTTTGCTATATTTTATCTACATCTGTGCTCCTGCTAACAAACCTGATAGTTTGTGTGATCCTCTTATTAACCAAGTGGGGCTGTCTCTGTCTCTTGTATTTTATTTCAGGACATCTTTACCTGTGCCCATGTTTGCCAGAAATACAGTCAGCGTCTGGAGTATCCTAAAGAAATGTATCGGACTGGTAAGGGCATGCTGGTTTTCAGAAATAAGGTGTTCCTTTTTAGCAAACAGTGAAGAATAACAAGATTAATCTTGTGCTGGTAAAGACGTATACAGCTTCAGACTTTGGACTGTTTGGATCCTTTTACAACGACGACATATATTGATTCATGCACCCATACACCACAACAAGCTAATTTTACTGTAGCTAAGTTTGATTCTTACCCTTGAGTTTTTAAATAATATCACAATAGAATTAATTAAGGGGGTCTTATAGTACAACAGTTGAAGTTGTGACAAATGTGAACAATTGAATCACTTGAAATAACAAACAGAAGAAATAAAGTTATTTTGGATCAGTACTTGCTGACCTATTCCCAGTGCTGTGGGACAGGTATTTGAGAAAGTGAAATGTTTTCCCACAACATTTTAATTTAGAAGGGGCTGTGTCATTTTTTCTTTTCAGGAACTGTCTAAGATCACAATGCCCATTGTCTTCAACGAGCCTCTGAGCTTCCTGCAGAGAATCACCGAATACATGGAACACACTTACCTCATCAGCAGAGCCTGCGCACTGTCCGACTCCATAGAGCGCATGCAGGTCAGAGAGCACGTTCACTGCCACACGGCATAATCAGGCATAGCCCCCCTCAGCTCTGCACATCCATCTGAAATGACACCTTGCGTTGGTTTCATAGTCTTAACATTTTAAACTTGATCATAGTGAATGCTAATTTGTTCAGCTTTGGCACAGTGTGAAATTAACCCATCGCATACAGTGAAGAAAATGGTTCCAAATGACTCCTGTTGGTTTTGTACATTTTACGTAGCATACATGCTCACACATGCCAACCGGACCTGACTGTGTTCATTTTTAGGCAGTAGCTGCTTTTGCCGTGTCAGCAGTTGCTTCTCAGTGGGACAGAACCGGAAAACCCTTCAACCCTCTGCTTGGAGAGACTTATGAACTGATTAGGTACACACACACACACACACAAACACACACAAGTAAACGCACTAACAATCACATACGTCTTCTTTCAAGGTAAGTTTTTACACACAGTGACTTCTGAACATTTTGTTGTCCCCCTCACGGCCCTCTACAGAGAGGAACAGGGTTTCCGGCTGGTGTCGGAGCAGGTATCCCATCATCCTCCTGTCAGTGCCTTCCACGCAGAGAGCCTTTCCGGGGACTTTGCCTTTCACGGCTCCATCTACCCTAAACTCAAGTTTTGGGGCAAGAGTGTTGAGGCAGAGCCTAAAGGAACCATCACACTAGAGCTACTCAAGTAAGCCACAGATCTGCTTGTGTTGCTATTATTTTAAATCCAAAAAGCCCTTCCACAAAACAACTTCTTCTTTTTCCTTCCTTTTTTTCTTACCTTTCTGTTTCTTCTCCAGACACAATGAAGCGTACACATGGAGCAACCCATACTGCTGCGTCCACAACATCATCCTGGGCAAACTTTGGATAGAGCAGTATGGCACAGTGGAAATAATCAACCACAGGTTTGTGAACCACAAACTTATGATTTTATTTATTTATTTCTTATAGCCGTGTATTCAAGAACAAACTATGCATAATAAATGGAGCCACATTCGTATATGAGAGGTGTGCTGGCTCAACTGAATCCTATTTACATTTAAATGAAGCTCAGTAAAGCTGACAGATGTGAACGTTACAGCTTTCCTCAAGCGTCCTCCTTTTTATTCTTTCTCATTGTTTACTCTGATACTTGAGACATCCATGTTTACTCTCTGTGTGGCTTCGCAGACAAACAACCTCTCTTGACCTGTATTTTCTCAGAGCGCTGTGTGAAGCCCACGCTATCCTGGCTTTTGCCTCGCCGTGTGTCATGCAAGCTCAGAGGCATACATTCACACCAAGAGCTGCTCAGCAGTTTCTCTGTGTTCTCAATGTTGGTTTTTGCACTGAATAGATGAATGCTCATTCACTGCCTATACTGTCATCTCACATAACACCAGGGTTTGAGGATAGCTCTGATATATCAAATGAATAAAGCAAAGCAATGGCTGATAAGTTTAATAGATTTTATCCACACAAAGAAAAGGAAATTAGAAAAGAGTATTTTAATTCCTGCTTTGTGTCTAGTTCACTTGAATTAACTAAAAACTCTGGCTCTAACGTTCTTTTTCTTTACCTTTTTTACAAATCGCACAGCACTGGAGAAAAGTGTGTGTTAAATTTTAAGCCATGTGGGATGTTTGGCAAAGAGCTGCACAAAGTAGAAGGATACATCCAAGACAAGAGGTATGACCTTTGGAATTAATTTAGTATTTTCTCATAAAAAACAGCAAATGTTTTGATAGTTCCTGTATTTATTTGCTTCTTTCTCCTCATTTTCACATGTCCTTGCTTCTTCTTTATCCTTTATTCCACTCTTCTGTTATTTTTCTTGATTCATTTATTTATTTCATCTGCTTGTTTTTGTTCTTTAACCTCCACTCTTGTTACTTTCTGTCCTTATTTTCTTGTGTTCTTTGTCCCATCTGTATTATTTTGACACTTTCCCTCCTCCTCCGCCCGGTGTTGCTCCCTTTTCCGTCTCTGTCCAGTAAGAAGAAGCTCCGTGTTATCTATGGGAAATGGACAGAGTGCATGTGGAGTGTCGACCCTCAAACCTATGAGGCTCACAAGAAATTGGAAAAGAGAGGAGACAACAAGAAGCAAAAAAATGTGAGAATAACTGGACTTCTGTGTCTCATTCAGCAGCTAAAAATCATATTATGTTGCCTTTTTTAAACATGTTTTTATATATGATTACTTTTTGTCCTTTGACAATGTATTAAGGTATTTTCTTTCTTGATTTTCTTGGTGTTTTTAGCTTTCTGTGTGTTCTTATCCAGGTAAACCAACAGGCTTGTGTCATTACGGTTTTAGTTTTCCTCATTTGTACGTAGTGAAGTGCAATAACTGTAAACCCATTAAGTCTTCCTGAAAGTTTGGAAATGTTACTAATTAAAGGTCATTAGTAGACTGGAATAGTAATTGCTTTTGTATCTTGTACATGAGACATATTTTCTACAAAGTGCTTTATATTTTTTAATATACCAGTAGTTACCTTGAGTGGTGTCATTTCCAGGACGACCATGAAGGAGCAGACAACGAAGATGCAGATGACATGCCTGAAGTCCAAGAAACGGTGTGTGTTGTACCGGGAAGCACTTTGTTGTGGAGGATAGACTCCCGACCAGCACACTCTGCTAAGGTATGAAAATGAAATGCACAGATATGACCAGAAAGGTGTAAATTACATTCACCATAAATTAGCAAGTCCCATTTAAGAAGGGAGTTCTTTCTGTCACATGCCATTCTTTAATTCTTTCTGCTTACATAAAGTCTAATTCAATTTTTTACCATGCAAACACATTTAGGTAAATGTCATAATATATTTTGTTCAGTTTTTAAGCAAATCAAAAAAATACCGTAAAATAGAATTCCTTTCCTTAACGACACACTTTTACATACATAAACTCAGGAGCCCGTGTTCCTTCTCTTCCTCCCACAGATGTACAACTTCACAAACTTTGCCATGTCTCTAAATGAGCTGGATCCTGGTATGGAGGCCATGTTGCCCCACACCGACTGTCGCTTCAGGCCTGACATCAGAGCCATGGAGAATGGCGACATGGGTAATTTTAGATGAATTTCTCATTCAATTTAATTCTTCTATGTCTTTACCAAAACATTTAACTTCAGAGGAACTATAAAAGGCTATTGGTTCCTGTTAAGCAGCACTTCTGCTGCCAAACAAAACCTAGTACAGAGTAAAGTTCAGTTTTTCATGTGATACAAAGAGCAAGACAATGCTGCCACCTGCTGCTGGATAGCTGCATTGTTTCTTGCGTAATCATGAAATACCTCAGTTGTACAAATATTTAAAGAAAGATGAAGAAGAAGCACACTCATGACTTTGTTTGCTGTTGCAGATGAGGCCAGCAGGGAGAAGGAGAGACTGGAGGTGAAGCAGAGAACTGCCAGAAAGGATAGAGCCAAGCATGATGAGGGGTGGTCAACTAGGTAACAAACACCAACTCATACAACCTTTAGTTATGCAGACAAACTGCGATCTCCAGCATTCTGATTGAAGCATTAAAACACAAGGAGTGGCACGCCACTACAAAATAGAAACATTGTGTAACTGCCCCCCTTTTAGGGGACGTGGAAAAAGCCCCACTCTGGTTTGAATCGATCAGAATCCCAGCCTGAAAAAGCAGCCTGCTCTTTACATGTTAATGTTAAAGATATTTACAAATTGAATACCAAATTGTTTTTTTTAAGATACAAAAAAGGGTGCCAAATAAATTGTCTGATTTTAGGTGGTTCCAGATGACCGCCAACCCCTACACCGGCTCCCAGGACTGGATCTACACTGGAGGCTACTTCAACAGGAACTACCAGGGTCTGCCAGATATCTACTGAGGGACTTTACGCTTCATCTCTTCCTCATCCTCATCTATACCCTGACACAGTGTAAAGAGGAATAATAAGAACCCATGCCCCTTTTGCTCCCATATTCATCTCAGAGCCTTAATCATCATCCTAAACTCACTGACCCACCCAGCACATATTGGAAAGACTTAAAAGGCCAAAGCCCACAAACCATCTCGGTGGATTTTACCTCCAAACTACCAGCAAGCATCTCGCAACTCTCTGACCAAGCACTATATAGAGCACAAAATCATATTTTTTTCCAGTCAATCCCAGTGACAGAGAGCTGATAATGCCCACAGACACACAGGTCCAGTTTGAATGTCCAAGATATTTGTAATCAAACTCCTCTCTGAAGAACTTCTGGCATACCTCTGGGCTCATGCATTATAAATATGAGTGAAAATGAACTGAGACTGAACTCGTCACAATGGTGGTTTGATGTACATGCACAGAAGGTGAAACCCAGTCAACGAGGAAATCAGGGATGTGAATGTTCCTTTGACTGAAAATGGATTTTGAGGACGTTTTTTTTTTTTCTTGTTTTGGAACTTCCTTAAAACTCAAAAACCTAAAGATAAACACAGGTGACAGGTCACTCTTTAAAGAACAAATGTATATGTTTGCTTAAACTGGTCTGGACAAATTGAATGCAGGCATGCGCTGATTCATATTGCCAGGTCATGGCCCTAAAACATACTAATATTTGTTGTTATTGTTTTAATAACATTCATAAGACAAATTATGTGTCGGGGTAAATCAAAAGAACTTCGAATGAAAATTTCATTGGGTAGAAGAGCAGAATGCCACACGTTGTCTTACCGTTTAACCTGGTACTTCAGTTTAGAGGTCTGAAAGTAAAACGTTTTGTGACCCTCATCTAAAAACCGAGTGAGGGTCATCACATAGGCAAGATATTTGAATAGGCTTCATATGAGCAAAATATCCTGACTTCTTTTGAAGAAAACTTCAGCATTAGGCACAGACGGAGTTAAGAATGAAAGTGAAAGAAAAGATTACAGTGATATGGCATACATGCTGAGCATGTGAATGAGTGTGTAAATATGTACACTTAACGATAAACACTTACAGACACACTAATCACAGGAGATTGTTTTTTGTGTTAATGAATGTGGGGAAAAAGTTAACCTAAAAACTATATTATTGTTCACCTCATCAGCATTGCTGAAAACGGAGGGAAAGACATGTCCTTGTAATATAATGTAACATACAGCTGTAGACATTGGAGCGTGGGGGTTGGGTCCGTGGACAGGGCTGCTGAGGTCCAGGGGCTCTCGTCTAAAAAAGAAAAACTTAAAAAGAAAAATCACATTAAGGGAAAAAACTCACCAACAGGCAACTTTGGAGATGTATCATAGCAACACACAAGACGGTCACAACGATTGTAGTCTTTCTTTTTTTGGTCCGCATCCAGCTACTGTATACAAGTATGTGCCTTGGGGTTCATGTGCTAGATCATCGCCTTGTTATTCTCACAGTCCACCTTAATAAAAAAAGAAGAGAAAAGCATCCTGATGAATGCTCACACAAACTGATTGTTCAGAGCTTCCAGCTGATGAGCAGGTCTGAAACTCAAAACAAAGACCAGTAACACTAGGACACCCATGCTGCATGACTTTGCCTCTGCAGATGTTTGAATCATGCTGAGATTGAGAGATTGACAAAAAACGAAGAAAAAAGGACCCAATGCTGCACCGATCAAATGTGGATTTCATTCTTTTTTTTCCCGTTCAGTTTCGGAGACGAACACCTAAAAGTGATGGTAAAAGTGTAAATGTGTGAGATGAAAAGATCAGCCGGGCAGTGGGATGCTATTATATTAATGGTCAAAAACATTCCTTTTCATTCCACAACATGAAGGCTCAAACCTATGTAAAATCAACCTGTCAACAGAACTGCTCACTTTCTTTTTAATGTGGTCGAATTCAAAGTCAGATCTGACCTGTTTGGTCTGGTGATATCGGAGGTTTTGACACCAAACATTTACTGCAGATGTGAAAAAGTCATAGTAAAAAATGAGGGGGAAAATCCGAACCTGGAGGTCTGGATTTGCTCTTGGACTTGTCCTGCATCAGACTGATGGAAATACCCTGATTTCCTTTTTTTTTCTTTTTCTTTTTAAACCAAACCGTTATTTTTGCCCCATCCTTTAGTTTGCAAAACCAACTCTATGCAACATTTGCACATCTGCATGAGCAGCATGTGTGTGGCCTCTTCTTGTACATTCGCTTTGCATTCCACCTTTAGTCCCTTTGATTAGTCTTGTGCATCTCTGAATGTTGACTTTGTCACTGTAGCTTTTTAAAAACATATTTCAGAGAAACGACTGCAGCGTGTTAAACCATTTGGCACTACAACCAGTCACAATGTTTTTGATGGGTGTAACTAACACAACGATTTAAAAAGCAAAAAAAGCACTCCTGTCATGATCAGTGCCTGGATTTGTTTCCTTTTTTCCTTTTTTATTCAGGTGTATTATTTATGATGTTTAAGGTTTTATGAAACAGCTATGTTGTCTTTTTTTTCTTTTCCTTGTCGTTGTAGCCTGAAAAGATCTATATTGAACTTTTTCTTTGGTTTAGTGAGGACTTGAAGCAAACCAGTGAAACGTCTTGACTGTGGCTTTCATACCAGTCTGACTAAGCAGCCGGTGTATTAAGCTGGTGTGTGATCACCATCTTCTTATAGGGAACGCGTTTGGCCACATAAATCCACGATTAGAATCTACATTGTCACCACTGTAATGCTAGAAAAACAAAAATCCCCATATTTTTCTAAGGTTTGTTGAAAGGCTGCTCTACAAACACTACTCGAGTTGCACTGTCAAATGTTCAAGTAGTGCTTCAGGTAGTCTAAACATATGTCACTCTCATAACTGCTGATTTGGGACTTTCACCTTACACCACTTCTGCTCTGTCCTGTTTTTTTGTTGTTGTTGTTACTTTGAGTGTTGCTTCTATGCTGAATTTTATTTCTCCTGGACTGTGTTGTCGATGTTCTATTAAGTGCTGCACAGCAGTAATCACAAAAAATATGGTATATTATTTTGTGCAACTGATTTATTTTTATAGTATTTAAACCGTTTTTGGTGAGAACATTGTACCAGATGTCTTATTTTGAGGTGGGGGACTGTAAGGGGTCATATCCATACAGTGGACAGCTAGTAGATTAACAAATGGGGGAAAATGTCTACTAATAAAATTCTAATTTCAACCTTTTAATGTCTTCTTTTTCTTACATGAAAACAATATTAGTTTTTATGTCCTAATGGGATATTACTTCAGTGTAAATTCTGGAAATATTGTTTTTTTTCCCCCATATAAATTGTGTTTATAACTCACTGTGTGGCTATCTTAAATTCAAACTTTTCCTGGATGCACATGAACTTGTTCCAGTTACAATATTTTACATGTGATAATATAAAGGAAGATGAGGTCGTAGTTGATTGGTTGTTTACTGGTTCCCTGGGTAAAGCAAATGTGTTCAGCATAGCACGGTACTCAGATTTTGGTTCTGCTGCCATAATGCTGAACAGGACATGGTTGAAGGAAAAAAAATGCAACCAAAGGCATAAAGCTCTGCAATAACTCGCAGTGAGGGCCAACCAGTACTGCTGGTATAATTCCAAAAGAATAGTTACAAGACCATAAGATATTCAAGGACATTTAAAGGAGCTGAGAGAAAAGCACACTCAGTTTTTTTGTAATTCATTTGTCTTTTATTTAGTTTCCTGATTGAAATGTATTGTAAGGTCATAATTTGTCATTCATCACATTACATGGCATGATGCACCAGGTCTACTACACCCATTTACAGGAGGAATACACGGAAACATACACAAGGTTTTACAGTGGGGAAACAGGAAGTTTAGGTCATTGTACTTACAACAGTGGATGGAACACTTTGTAATCGTCTTTTGGCTCGCAACCGTTTTCTGCGTTTTATTATTTTAATGCTTTTCTTCAATCGGTTGGGTTATTATATTTTTTTAAACACATCTCCGATGTCCCGTTCACCCTCTCCCACCATCTAATAATTGTCCACCCAGAAAGAAAAAAATACTTGGAAGCCAAAATGTTTTTCCCATTTTTTTTTGTTTTTGTTTTTGATCATCTCATTTTACAAACACAACATGTATAGAAACTCTACACGGACCAATATGTTTTTTTTTTTTCAATATCCGAATACAACATTTTTTTTTATGACTTTTAAACTGTCTGCACGAGCCAGCCACACATGTACACAATGCAATTTGTCATTTATTACTGCTCTTGTTATGTAGTTTGTCATCTTTTTTAAATCACAAAGCACAAGTACTGGCAGGGAGTTGGTCGCTTGTACACACTCCAGGTTGTGTGTCCGTTTTTACTGCAAAGGCCTCTCCCATGCCCCTTGTGCACGTGTGTATGTTGGTACGTGTGTGTGCTGCAGTATGCTAACATGTTTTTCGATTTACATGTTGTACAGGACGTGTCCTTTATGGCATTTACATGTTTGTTGGAAGCGGGCTCTGTTGGGTTCTCATCTGGTATTTACACTGGAAAAAAGATGACAGCCCGTGAGGTGGGGGGACAAAGGGTGGGGGGGGGGTAGGGCTGGGGTTGGATAGGCTGGGTGGGGAGGTGTTCAGGTCATGCACTTGTCACTTAACTTTGACTCATTACATGTGAAGGATGGAAAAAAACCTCTCCCTGATGGTTTTACAGTGAAAAATGGGATTTTTTTTTTCTCTCATGGCTGTTTGTTTCGGCATTCTTCCTCATTTACAACCTCTCACCTAGGAAACATTTACTTTTCATATATTTATATATGCATTTCTTCTCTTCTAAAATCTTCCTCTGGTCCTGCTTTATGTTGCCTGTCTTCAAGACCAGCCAGGCACCGCTATGCTGACAGAGAGCAGTTCACATCTCCATATTTTGGTCAGAACAAGCACAGTCCCACAGTCTGGCTTTTCCAAATAAGTATTCCAAGCCTAATTTTGAAACAGAAAAGCTGGTTGATTTTCATGGGACTTAAGGAGTCAGATTTAAAGATGTGTTGACCTGTTACACCTTAACTATCTGCAATTTGAACTGTTCACATTTTCAAATGGATAGAAACCCTCACAGATATTATTTTCCACTGGGATAAAGATGACCACGTTTATTTTGAGAGGAGTTCAAATTTTTTGGTTGTTGGGAAACACTTTGTTGTATTTGGCCTTTAAAATAGTCAACATTTGTGCTTCAAATCTCTTGGAAAAACAGGCTGTGGCTCGGTGGTTCTGGTGGTGTTTACTGTGATCTGAGCATAGCAGAAGTCCATTGCATTTCAGGATATAGATAGACACCATGCAGAGTACAGACAGAGACCACGACTGGCTAGAGGGCAGTAACAGGATGGCTTTCTTCAGTGACCAGTGTTGTAGTATAAAAGCCCTTGCTGCTATGCATATTTAAACCCCCATCAGAGGCTGTTTTAACACCGGAGCAAATGAAAAAACAAAAAAATAAAAAAAGGTGACATTTCCACTTTTCGACACAGTTCGTGTTGTCTGTGTACTCGTGGCTGTGTCATTCACATATGAGCGACTCCCTCCGGTGAACAGCGGCCACGGGACCCCGTCTGGGCCACAGTGTTCAGACCCGGACCCACTGCCCCTGCACCCCCCCCCCCCCCACTGTCCTCGCTGCAACGCTGCATTTAGTGTGTGCTTTCCTGAGGCAAAAGTGATTGAAGATTGTTTTATTGAACTTTTTTTCCATTTTCTTTTTTTAAAAACTTCCAAAACATACAACACACATTAGAGGAAGTTGGTATTAATTTCGGGAAACTCTAAACTCTCTCTCTCTCTCACGTTGTTCTACTTGGACACCTGGTTTTAAGCTCTTTGTTGAAATCACTGGTCTGGTGGCAGTGTATCTGTGAGGTGATGCCTATTAGGGCCACATGCATCAGATGTGCAACCAAACAGACTGAAATTGAGTAATGTATCCAGAATAATCAGATTCTTAACTCTGTAGCTGAATTTCACTTTATGGAGGCGGGAAACGGAAGAATAAAAAACCCTGAAGGGAAATTAATTCCTCTCGATATAGTGTGACTCAAGTTTGAATCGAGAAGATAAAATGGGGGGAATTGCAAAGATATATGAATCAATTCACAGCAGGTTTAAGTCTGTTTTGTTCGGAAAAAGAAAGTTCCTTAGAAAATATATCATTGTGATAGATAAAATAAACAGTCTGTGCAAACAGACTTTGAAGGGTACCACTTAGTCATAAACATTTAGCTTATTTAGATTTTAAAAATCTGATTATTATGGTTTGGTTTTAATCCTGCATTAGATAATTTCTTTAAACCTAATACATCTCTGTTCATCAATGCCATATAGCTCTCTTATCTCTCTCCATATGATAAAATAAATTCTTAAATAGATGAATTATCTAATAAATGTATTTAAAAAAATATACATATTTTTAATCTGATATTTTTACACAAGTCAGTGACCTGTGAGGCTCAACAAATAGTTCAAAATGAGCTGAGATTAAGGGATAATTTTATGTTGGATAAACCACATTTTTAAAAATTGAATTGTCTATTAAACTGTTTTTACTTTAACTGCCTTGTTTTTAATGTGCCACTAACTCAACTGAAGTCTGATGCTAAGTTAAAATAAATATTTACTTTCTTGGAAACAAAAATTTATCTTCCTGGGCATTTGGCTAAGAAATCAAGTATTTTAGTTGGTCAGGCAGAGCACATTTGAAAGACTCACAATAAGACACACAGCAGTAAACTAATTTTGACAGCTCAAAATTTGGAATGACTCGAGTAATGCTTTGCTGGTAGTTTACAGCAGTTTCAAGACAAATCTAAGGTACAGATTTTCCATCATGATTAGTAATACTTTTATATCAGAGTTAGCTCTTTTAAGTCAACTTTTTAAAATATTTTTTCCACAGACAATTTCTGAGAAAGTATAATAGATTATGATGTGGTGATTAAAAAATCTAAATAAAGGAAATATTCTTTTTCATTCTTAAACAGACCATAGATATGTTTAAATCTATCTCATATATATATATGTTTATTCATTATGTCTATACTTTATATATAAATCTCTTGACAACTTTTCCAAATTCCCGATCCAACTCTGGTAAACTAATCAAGATACCAATTCCTACAGAGATGAGTTCAAGACAACTGGGATCTTTTGCTGTTGCTACTAACTGAATGGAGCACTGGTATCAATAACAGCCAGTGGTAGCATGTTTTTCTTGCTCTTTTGTTTTATGCTTAAAACCTTAATTCTCAGTGAGAATCAGTTGGAAGTATTTAACTTCATTTACAAACCACCTTTCCTTGAAAACAATATGTAAGCAGTGCTTGTTTCAGTCTGAAGCTACAAACTCAGAGTTACAATTTCCCAGCTGTCACAAACATATCTTCAGCCCCCCCATCTCATGGGGAAGGGACCCTGAACCGGTTAACATAAACTACTTATATCGCTCTCTTATTTCATAAACTTACATATAACAACTATTCCACTTATTTCAAACAAAATAAATATGATATTATATTAAAACCCAGAAGTGATTTAAAATGACTTATTTTTCCTCATTGTTGTTTGCATGCCTTAACCTCCTGAAGCTTCTGTTTGTCCCAAATATGATTCATTGCATAGAACGACTGGAGATGAGAGGTCGCCTCTTCTGCCCACCATATTTCTCGTAGTTTGAACTTGGTGTTGGTTTACTTTTCTTTTCTTTTCCACATTGGATGACGGTTGTTAATTACACGCATATACAACCCCCACACACATACGTACAAACATTAGGAACAGAACAATATAGAGGTGACTGAGGTTTTTCTGCGCCGGGCAGCATGCGAAGGTTCCCAGCGAGCGTTCACACAGACAATATACAGCAAAAGTTGGTCGGTTGGTTTGTTTCGCTGAAGGCCTCAGAATATTTGGCCAGAAGGAGTGCGTTTTGAGTACCAGACCACGGGTCCCACAATGCACTGCAGGAGCAACAGCAGGGCAAGCACTGACCTGAGAAGTTTCCATGACAACTGACAGTCAGAGAGGTTTTTTGAGGGGGTTAGGGTTGCAAGTCTGGACTCCACCACGATAGAAAACCAAAAAGTAAAAAAAGGCGAGTGACTTTTTGACACAACCAGGTGTGTTATTTTTGGTTCCTCAGTCACGATGTTTTTCATCATTTTTTTCCCATTTTGACACCATTTCCAGTGTGCTTTCTTGTGTGCAGTGTGCAGTTGACAGAGTGAAAACACATGCCGACACACACTAAGGAGTGCTTTGCAGACTCCCACCAAAGGTCCATCTTGGAGGATCAGAAGAATCACATGAAAACCCAAACCCCGAGTCCAGTTCTACTGCAATGTGTGACTGGTCTGCTTTTCAGTGCCTCTCTGCTGCCCTGCAGTGCTTTCAGATCGGACTCCAGTTGGCTAATGCAAGCAGTGTATCGCTATGACCCACTGAGTGGTCACTTGACAGCTCCAATGTCTCATCGGTTTGTTGGAGGAAAAGATCTCGATGGTACTGGTCGTGTGGTTTAAAGGTGAGCTCCTGCTCTCAGCAGTTGGGCAGCAATGGAGCTCCTTTCTGTGGTGTGTTTAAGTAAGACTTGAGCAGAACATCGATGGTAAGTTAGACAGACAGAAGCAACACATTTCTATCCCACCATCCATTACAATAACACCAAATTGTGCTCTTTGCGTTCTTACCTCTTACTCTATTGCTTTGATAATTATTGATTAGAAAGATCATTTTCAGGGGCTTGATGAAAATAATTACCTAAAACTAAATTAATAAATTAATTAAAAAATAAATAAATGTTTAATATCACAAACAATTATCAAAAATTAAACATTAATTTGAAAAAATAGAAATCATTCTCTCTCTGGCTGGCATTCCAGTTGATATTACTACATAAAAAAAACAGGGTGCGATGCAAACATGGCCACAGGATGTAAAAAAAATCTCACTTAAAAATAAAAAAAATTCTAAAAATGATTAAGGCGATATTGGTAACCAGAAACATAAAAGCCAGGCAAATAATAAAATGAAATGGGTCAAATAAAGCAAACACAGAGAAATGACAGCCTCTTCAAAAAAGCATGAGTAACATCAGAGAGACAGGTCTTGTGGGGCGTTTGGTGATTGCCATTTTTCACAAATACTGCAGGTAAATGTTGTTTTCATGGCTTTGCAACGGCAAAACAGCAACTCTACCAAACAGCGTCATTCTGAACCCCAATCAGATCATTTCTTGAGAACACATTAAAAAGAAAAAAACTCATCTTGCTCCTCTAACTGCACCCCTGTGTGTTGCTCCAATCATGTATCTTCTTTGCTATTACTTTTAATGTCTAAGATGTGTTTTCCAGTGTCTTTATGGCCTCTGGTAAGTAACGATGAACAGTGTAAGGTCTTGAATATAAAGTTCATGCATTCCAAATTCTTACATATGTTTTTTTTTTTTATCCACTACACTATTCTTTTAAGACATGGCAAGTCGTGGATTGTTAAACAGGAATAAGAAAGAAAGAAGAATCAGCATTCAAGAAACTAAGAGAGGTGAGGAGGGGCGTGGGTCACAGTTCCAAGCTGGAATGTAGATAGAAACAGAGAAAACAGTGGAAAGAAATGCACACCAATGCATTCATTCTGTGTTGGCTGCATTGTCATCATTGTCTTTTCTTCATCTACAGTGATATTTCTGTGACTTCATTTCCTTCTCAGTGCTTGGTGAAGTAACAAGACGTCTCTAGTACCAGAAAAACCTGCAGTAACTATTATTTTTTCCAGCTTTTTCTTACTTTGAAAAGAGATTAAAAAGAGGAGAGAGGCAGATTGTCGCTGTTATTCCTTATTTGAGCACAGGACTAGGAAACCGAGGATCCCTGCATGCCAGAGCACGTGTAGCAAATCTAAAGCTCTCTGCCGGCCGGGAAAAAAAGCAGCTCTCTTTAAACGAAGCGGTCGTTGGGGTGCAGACCGCTCCTGCTTCCATCTGTTGAATCTGAAGAGTTCCAATCCACACGAAGAGGTGAGGTGGCGTAGGGCCTTCTTTGTCTCTTCTTGTGTGAACCGCCTCTGCAAATCTCTGGTTTTCACAGAGTTCCCCTCACAAGCAAGTTTTCTTTGCCGTAATCTTGATTTTTCAGTGCTCTTTCTGAATGAGGGGGCAGAGATGTTTGCAGCGGCTGATGGGTATTTCAAGAGGCTGCACTATGTTTTACTTCTGCGGCTGGGGGGGGTGAATAAAGGGGCTCCTCTGAAGAGGGACGTTGGTTTGGGCTTTGAATGATCTAAACAAATAAAAAATAAAAAAGAGAAGAAGAATATTGTTAAAGATACAGGAAAAACTGAAATACAGGCTCTTTGCAAATAGTATTAAATGTGTTGACAATATTCATAAATACTATAATCCCTCTGTTAGTGTTAACAATGAATAATTTCAGTCAGTTCTAAAACAAAACCCATTGACATAAATGTGGTCACTGCACATCTGCAATGATGTAGTAATAAAGCTGTCCACTAGGTGATGTATAAACTTAAGAAACACTGTTCTATTTGGTCAGAAAAGCCATCAACATTTTTGGATTTCGACACCTATGCTTTTTATTTTGATGTTTAAAAAAAATTTATGAGTCAATTTTATTTGATGAATCCATTTGATTAGTTGTGGATGTCTGTGCAGCAAAGAACTAAACCAAAACATCAGCTCCCAGTGCCACAAACTGATTCCTGTTTAATAAAACTATCCCTGCTGCAAATTGGGTTCACACTTCTCAAAGCTCACTTTTATTTGCACGTCTCATCGAGAACGATTTCTACATTCTGATTCGACACATCTTGCCTGTTGGTGCAAAAAAAAGGATCATGATAAACAGATCTGAATGAAGAGAATTTTGTAGAAGTAAATATTTAACTATATCCAGAAATATAGAAGAAAAACAACATTCTTGTGCAAGCGTAAACCAACAGAGTGAGGTTAGAGAAATTTAAAATCAATCTGTGCTGACAGTGCATGTGGAACTATAATGGAAATGAAAACTGATATCATGGTGCTGCCTGAGAAAACTCAGGGGAAAAGTCATTTGTGCATTCCAGCACTTTTCTTCCCAGTACAGAAATCTGTGGAATACAGAAATGTTGCTACCTTTTCTGGATCTCATTTAGAATAGAGGTAGAAACCTTTTCTGTGGTCAAATTAACCGAAATGTAAAGTTTCGTTTAAAATCACAAACGCTTCCACCTTAAAAAATGTAAATGAGAGGGACCATCGTGGTCATTAAAGCGTACAGTTCAAACGTTAGCTGTATTTTGTCTTTCAAACAAAATATACATGAAAGAGGGTCCTGAGCTCCAACCTTCCAAAGTTTTATGAGATTTCGGTTGGTAGTTTTGTGTTTTTTCGTGTATTTTTTTTATTTATTTTTTTATTAACTAACTTGATCAAGGATATAGGTTCCTTCTCTTTATAAATGAAACACTATGTGCATACACTAATATATAAACATATATAAGCATTACAAAATTTTACCATTTGTTTGAGCATTTCAGCTACATGAAGGCTTTGAATTATTTGCAGATTTTTTTTGCTTTAATTGACCTTTTATTCACTTTCAAGCCTCTTTCAGAAAATACAGTTATTTGGTCTATTATCAGATATGACATTTCTTAAATAACAATGAGAACATAAATGCAAAAATTCACTCTTTCAATTTGACTTTGATCCCAAATGACTTTCACATCTTACCCGTGTGTGTTTACATTTACTGGTTTTATTGCACCTTAATGAACCTGATCCTTGGGAGGACCAGAGCCAGCGCACATCTGAAAATGTATTTATGTATATTTTTAGAATCCCTGCCTTCCATTTCTCTTTCCCACTGTGCCTGACCCAGATTAACAGCTCCAAACAAGCGCTATAGCACCAGACTTAATCTGTTCCAGTGAACACAGGGGCCCAAAGGGCTGGGACACACCGCACAAATATACACCGGCACAGCGACACACACAATGATGCATGCTTGTAAGCGTACACACAGACAGACTCACAGGGCAGTGAGAGGAGAACAGTGAGTTTTTAGTCACAATTCTGTGTGTTTTGGGCCATTCATCATTATAAGGGCTCCCTCCCAGTTACTCCAGATAAGGGAAAATTTAATTCTTCACCATCAGTCATATTCAAGACAGTAAAACCCTTTTAATCTCAAAATAAAATGACAAAACAAACATGCATAAAGTCTGGTCTATGAGGAGATAATTCTCCCTGTCAATGTGAAAGAAAGGTATATGTATCCCTGACCTGAAAAACATCAAACACCACAGCTAAAGTGGAGGATAAAATAGTGTATCAGATCACAAATAACCAACCTGCCCAGCCCATGGGAACAACCCATGACATGCAACTAGAAAGTGAGAATCTTGACAGTAAGACGCCGTACAAGTGTGAGAGCAAGGCCGATGACAGGAAAAAGATTTATGACAACTGGAGCAAAGTTTTGGGAGGAAAAAGATACGGTTAGAAAAACCTCACTGACAGTGGTGGCCCAGCACGTAAGGGCACATTCAGCCCAGGCTCAGAACACAACTTTCTATAAAACACTGGATGCAACACTCTGAAAAGCAACTGCTTCAAAGTCTGCCCTTCCCTCCATGGAGCATCAAAGGCTTCAGTGCCCGTTGCATGAAAGCACATCAAAAAGATGGACAAGCGTATAGCTTTCCTGGTAATTCCTGCCTCTATTTTTATAGTTTCAGCTTACATAAGACCCATCTATTATCAGAGGTGAAATGAGCTGCCGATGCCGATTCAGTCCGCCTTCGAACATTTACAACCACAAAGGACCGTTTTGCTTTGGCAATCACATTTTGCTCAGCTAAGTTAAATTGGAACCTACTGCATGATGGTCATACCGATATTTGGTTTCTGTTAGTGAAACATGAGTGGAAATGTCACTGTTGGTCATCTATTTGATATCTATGTCAAGACCTTTCCTCGTCTATGGAATCCAGACAGTGAATCCCTTTAAAGACTTGAGTTTCAAAATATCTCTTCTTATAATTCTGTGCCTTTTGCTGAAGAATGTATGCATCACATGATATACTGTATGGAAACATACAGGCTGTCTGCTGAAAACAAGTTTTGTCTGGGGGCATCATTCCCTGTCAGTTCATTATATTTTTGGACCTTCATGCTTTCATTATTCCTTAATCCTCAGATGCAATTCTGACTTTTGTGATGTTGCCTTCAACATGAAGATAAAAGCCAAAACATGATTTAAAATGCACCAGAAGAAAGCCTTCAAATGAGGCAATCAGAGATGCATCTCAGTTTGCTGGACTCAGGGTCACAATGAGCTGTGATTACACACCAATTCATTTCTGGGAAGCACTATATTTTTATGCCTCGCTTCATGAAGAAACAAACAAAAAAGATCCTCCAAGCCTTCCTCTGATCAAATCTGGCGTTTGATGCTGTATTGTCATTTTCCTGCTTTTTCTTTTCAGGATAAAAACTGACTTTGGCCGATTTATTTATAGTCCAGCTGACAGCAAAGCTATTAAACTCTCATAAGCCAGATGTCAGTGATTTTCAAGAGCAGGCAGCAATATAATAACTTCAGAAAACACCGAAGCAACCGTAGGGGCATCAGGCAAATTAATACAATTTCGGGGATGTAAACCATGAATCCTGCTAAATGATTAAAATTGTCCATGTTTTAAAGCATAATTTTCCACAGCTTCAAGGATCGCTTTGAGATCAGTTTTGTTAAATGAAAGACTTACTGTCCGGTCTGTCAGAGAGTCGGGCATCTTCTCTCTGCCACTATGTGCTCAAGTTGGAAACATGAAGCATCCAGGGGGTTCCAATCCATGTTGGCTGTAAGAAGAAGCAGCGGGATTTCAGTCAACGGGCCATTTTTCATTCTCAACATCTGTCCCCTAGTGCTTTGATTTGCTCTTGTCACCGGCAATTGAGAAGAGTCAGTGTTTTATTTGGCAGTCCCAGGTTTATGAGGTCCCATGCGCACTTTTCATTTTATCTGCCGAGTATTTTATTGTAACCTTGCTAAAACCTATGCAGCAGGCTGTGTAAACTGAATGGATATTATAGAAATCACAACTGATATTGGGAATTGTAATAATAAAAGCACGGATATAATTTGAAGATGACCTTTCTGACTACATTAGCGTGGAGGGATCTGACTATTTTTCCTAATGAACCTCTTTTTTTTACACATTTTTCTTTTAGGCATGGTTTGGTTTGTGAAACGAAAATAAAGCCTTTCAACTAACAGGGTTAGTTCAGATCATTTCTTTGTACTGTTATGAGCCCACAAGGTTCCATACGTAATCTGTCTTGGTTTATATTTGTAACTGCTGACCATCAAACACTAAATACAGAAATCCCTAAGCCTGTGATGGAAGGCTTCCCTCTAGGTCTGCCTGCTCACAGCCTCTGAACAAAATGGCTCAGAGAAGCTTTTAAGTGCCAGTCAGGATGTGTTGATCTATGCATGTGCAAAAAAATATAGATACAACTGGATTTGTAATTGTGCAGGTTGGATATGACGTGCATCACAGTATTGTAAAAAAAACCCAGTTATGTTGGTTGGTGCATGGACAAGTTCTTTTGCATTTAATTTAGTAGGAAGCAGGGAAAAAAACAACATACTTAGAGAGAAAATTTCATATTGGGAATTAGGCAAGCACACAGCTTCGGCATTCTGATTTAAATGTCACCTACCGCACCCAGTTACAAGTTCAACCACAAATGAAAAAGGTCAGAGGCCACTGTTTGTACCAGTCTACACATGAAGATTTTTGGAAATCCACGACTTTCTGTTTTCCTGATGTTAAAGTGCAATAATGAAAGTAATTAGCAGTTTAATTTTGGTATTGTTGGGGTTTATGAAAAGATCCAAGATGTGGTCACAAATGAAAATTTGAAAGAAGGATTCTCCTGGAAAGTCTATCTAATAACTGTTGCTGATAAATGACATTGGGGCCTTCCAGCTGGAGAATCAAAACCTGCATACTTTGATTTAAAACGTACATGTTTTTGTCACATTTGTATATTAATACCTAACATACTCACCAGTATGCTCGGCTCTCCTTTCTGCCACTCCTCTCTCCTTCTGTTCTCTCTTCTCGTAAAAAAAAGTAGGGGGAATTTCACAGGTTTTTCTGGTACAGGGCCTCAAGACTTCATTATTTTAAACTTCATAGTCCTGCAAATGCACAAATGTTCATTTCAATTTCATACAGACCATGTGTCAAAAATCTGCAGCTCGACTGTACATGAAAATATAAATATAAACATTCCTTTTTGCTGTGCTTGGATCTACTTATATTACGTGATTCTTAAATGCTCAAAGATGCATTAAAGATTTTTAATGCACCTGTCAGTGCTCAGACCCTGCGACTTAAAATGTAATCAAACACCAACCAGTTGCCTTCTTATATATTTTCATTGTTCTGGGATTTTAAGATGTTAAACCCCTCTATTATTTCATAGATCAAGGCTCTTATTTAAAGCAAATCCAATCAAACAGCAGCCACAATCTAGTCATTAATCTTGCATCTAAATCCCTGGTGGTGGCATTGCAGTGAATACAGTATCCTCAACATGCAACAGATTATCAGCTGCATTAACGCATGTCTGACAGAGACCCTGTGTCAGTGGTCATTTGTCATTGTCAGGGCTAAATCCTCCCTCTCCACACACAGAGCCTAAAGGACTAAAAAACAAACTTAGATAGAAAAAACAATCACACAACAGGCAAAGAAACACTGCTCACACGGTGGCAGTTCTGTGTAAACCAATTTAAGCCGCCCCCTCCCAACTGTCTCCAAGAGTCAACATCATCCGTCTGCAGTCCTGATGACTTCCAACCAGTAACCTCTCTGACTCACTTGTCTGACTATGGTTCTCTAAAAGATTGAAAAAATATTCCCATCTCTTTGCTTGTGACTCATGAACCTGAAACACTTTTTTACTCTGACAGGCACAATAAATTGGTTTTTCCATTTGTTCGAGACATATTTAAATCACTGACTCATCTCTCTTCATTGTTTCATTGTCTCAATGAGCTCCAACATCTTCTGAAACTCTCACTTATGAAGAAGAAAATGCACCCACCTTTTCTTATTTCATATCACCTCAGAACAAAGAGGTGAACTTCTTGCCAAAACCAGAGATAGCTGGAGAAAGGTGGACAAGAATCAAACGAAGAAACATGAATACCCTCATAAACGTAAAGCAGTAGCTGTTGCTGTGTTAAACATGTGCTGCTCAGGCCTGTCATTCGTTTCATGATGAGCCTGTGCAGAATGAGGACTTTTTGTCCAGGTTGGCTGATGTGCTTCCAACGATCAATCTGATGATTTAAAACAGATTCTCTCTTTGTAGTTTTTACAGCAATGTTTCCAAGAAAAATGTTGGCAGCCACTTCTAGCAGACTGCTGCTGAGCCCTCAGGTTCCCGTGCTTGCTACCATCAGATATCAGTTCAGTATCTACCAGAGGGTTATCATTTAGGGCAAGTATTTAATTAATGTCTGGTCACAGCCAAATCCCCTGTAAAGTGTGTGTTGATTTATGTGCTGGTTTGTTTGCTGTACCTTCTCCCAGCTTGCCGGCCTGCTCAGCAGCTCCTCCGGGCAGAATTTTGGATAACATGCCGTCTCCCTCCATGCCAGGCGGACCTACTGCTGCACTGCCGATACCTCCAGGTCTTGGAGCGGCCTTGGAGCCTGGACAGAAAAGAGACAGAGTGAAGAGATGGAGTGATGGACAGAAGAGGATGCAGATAAAGAGGAAATCAGAGTAATCTTAAGTTTAATAAAGCCATTATAGAAACAATACATTTTACACTTTTATGACATTTTGGGTCTATTTTGTCTTATTTGTTCACTGCTGATACTATCAAGGTCGTAATTTATATAATGCAAATCGACCTCTATATTTCTCAAGTACGATTCTGTCTGATTCATATAGTTGCCCAGAGCTCTCTGCCTTTTTTTAAATCATGTCTACCCGACATGCAATGCAAGCAGGCTTTCTTGTTCACTGACTTTAAGTCAAACTCATAATCCGCTCCATTTTATAAGTAGCTGGACTCCCTCCTCATTTGCTAGTCAAGTTTATTCACTCAACAAATGTCTTTATGGAAAATACTGACAAAAAGTAGTCACTTTGTTGCAAGATCGAATAAAACCCAGCACACTAAGCATTTAAAGTCCATTACTGGGTGGCCAGTTTACTTTATTGCGGACTAATCATAATCTAAATTGTTGCTTGGCATATTCAGGGTGATCTGCAGCCATGAGGAGAAACACCTGCTATTTGTTCCCCCACGTTGGGATTTTGTACACATTAATCTCAGATTAGACAAATGGCACACAGTGCTTATATCATTTCAACACAGGGGAAAACAGCTGGCAGACACGGGAGCGGCGTGAGTCTGTCTCTGTGTGTTTGTGCGTCAGTGTGTGATATGTATACTATACCAATGCCTGTGAGAGGGGGCTGGGCAGTCTTTGAGGCCATGACTGGTGCTGCCTTTGCTCCAATAGCTGTTGCCGGAGGTGTGTCAATCTTTGTCTAAAATGAGGCAGAGAGACAAACATCCCAGCATTTAGCTTAAATTCCCAGTAAATCTACTGGACGGTGAAGACTGTGGGGGAGAAAAACGTGTCATACAACCAGAAAGGCAAAAAAAGAGTTAAGAGAAACGTAGGATTTTTCTGTGAAAATATGGAACAAAGCCTATGTTATTTCATAAAATTGCCCAATTTCCTGAGTCCGCTCATGGCCTTGGCCCAAGTGGGCCCTGATAATCTCTTTAGAGTACATGCTCATTTGTTGCCCAAGAATCCAAGTATTAGAACTGTAGGCAATTCAAATGAGGCCAGTATCAAACCCATGGGGCTTGTTCCTCAATCTGTTAACATGGGTTCCACATACAAATGTTGGCTGGGTTTGGGGGCAGCCCCAGCTTGAAGGATGGAGTGCTGGCTCAATATGTTGTGTTAGGAAAGAGATTTGAAAGGAGGGGGGGGGGGAGTCAGCCAAAGCAGTGAATGACCAGCTCCACTTTTTATGGATAAAGTGCCCTTGAGCAGCATGCATAACTTCTCCCGAGGTGCTGCACCTGCCCTCTGCTATGGCTGTGTTTACACTCCATGTTGCAAGCAGAAGCATCAGCTTAGAGTATTTCTGCGCATTTGTCTTTCCAAAGGAATCCAGTTCTGCTGAACTGTCTGCAATACATTGTTCCTTTTTATGAGTCTAGCCACTCAAATTGATCTTTCCTACTTCTGTGACCAAAGAACAATATAACTGAGACTTTGGTGACAGTCATTGTTCTTGTTACCTGTATTCTTACTGTTTGGATACAAGATACTGTTTGCAGAAACTGTGTTCGTGGAGAATTAGAATTTGTGGCAAAGGAATCCTTTCAATTTTCACTTCCTGCTGCTTCGACAATGTAGCCACATGAAAACCATGAAAAGCATTCAGCAGTCGTCAGAAATATTTTTGTAATATGTTGGAATTTCATAGTCAATGCCACAATCGCAATTTCACACTCCAACTTGCAAATAGATTTACATGGATTTATGGAGAAAAATCAGGGTGAGAGTAGATTTTTGCTGGGAGAAGTCTTGAGTGCCAATTTCTGTGCGTCTAGCAGGCGGTGAATCAGCTGTATTGAGTTATCAGCTGCCTCAGTGTTAATCACAGTGTTAGATAAGACCTGCCAAGAGAGGCGCAGCAGAATTTCAATAAACCATCTGAACTGGGACAGGAGGGACGAGCTCTTTTCGTCGGGAGCATGGACGGACACCAGGAAAAATTATACTTGGACCAATAGGACCGACAGGCAGGAGAAAAAAGTGTGATTACGTGAAGATGACAAAATGTGAAAACACAGTTTTGTGATGATCAAGAAAAAATACATATTTTGAAACCCAAGAAACAACAAAAATAATTATGTCAAGTCAAGACGGAAAGTAATATTTCATGAGAGGAATTTACATTGTGTGCAATAGCAGTTAAACTATTATGTCCAGATAGTATTTATCTGTGTAATTTAAAGACCAAGAAAGATTTAAAGACTGAAAAAGAACAAATCTGTTCTATTTAAGCTGACAAAGATGCCATGCTCCTCTGTATCACATCAAAGAAGATCTCTGCTCACCATGGTGGGTGGTGTGGTTCCTGTTGGACCCGTCTGCCTGGCCTGGCCCATGGGTCCACCTGCTGGTCCCATCTGCCCTGGTTTAGCCTGTGCCTGCCCCATGCCCATACCCATCCCTTGTCCTTGAGCTGGTGTCTGCTGCTGAGGTCCAGTGGCTGGTGTGGCACCCGGCTGCCCTGGTCTGGATGCCGATGTCTGGGCTTGCTGTTGGAGCTGGGTCCTCTGTCCAGGAGCCCCATCGGTCTGAGAACCAGGACCACCCTGTCGTCCTGATCCCACAGGCCCACCGGCAGAGCCCTGCACCCGGCCAGTGCTGCTAGACCTGGAAGAGCCTATACGGAAGAGAAGAGGGTAGATTGGGGGGTTTTTGCACTTAACGTTTCAGACTAACAGTGACACATCTGTACATTCGTTTCTTTATAGATTATTCAACGTGATTATTTCTGTAGCCTGAATTTATCAGACTGAGAAATTTAGGTGACAAGCAACTAACACCTAACCAGTTATTATATATGAGCACTCTTCAGAGCCACAGCCACAGTTCTTTCCTCAGAGAAAACAGCTCCTTCAACAAACTTATGTCCAATGTTGTTAATTAAAAACAGTTGATCCCTGAGGGAACCTGTTGACTAACAAAGACAGTCCAATGTAACCTTAAGAGCCAAGGCTATTAAATATTTATGCTGATTGAATATTGTCCTATGAATTTGATTAAAGGATCACATGAATGTTACTGCAGCAACCAATCTAACATGTCTGCATTCCCAGTTCCAGGAAAGTTGGAACATTGGGACAAATTAAAACAGGACTAAATGACTTGCCAATCAAATTTGCCACAAGTAGTAAAATGAATACGCTACAAATACACAATCAAATGTTAACTGTGTTACCTCAGCTTTCCTCTGAACAAAAGTCAATGAGCGTTAACGAGTGAAATTATGCCAATATAATACACCCCATATAACTAGGGGTAAGGGCTATAAAAGTAAAATTCTTTATTCTGGGGTGCACACGTATTATTTATCGTTTATCGTAAGCAAAATGCATTTTGTTCCACATCTACAGATATGGTTCATTATGACAAGCAAAAATCTGCATGTGTCAACTTCAGATTTAACTTGGCATTGTTTCACCTTTTTCTTTATCCTATCATCTGCCTCTCTATCCTAGAACAACAACATATTTCTGCCACCATATCAAATGCTAGTTATAATGGTATGTTGTAGGTACCTGGTGGTTGACCCTGCATGTCCATGGGACCCTGGGACTTGCTGCGTGAAGACCTGTGTGGGTCCCCCTGTCTAGAGGATCTTTGACCATGATGGTGTCCAGATGGATCACGGGAGTAGTCTGAAGAGTGATACCCTCCAGACCGCGACTCACCACGCCTTCCCGAAGAGGAAGATCTACCTGAAGGATCATGCCGCATAGAGGGGTCTTTGGGGTGCCCCTTGGATGACCTAGATGATCTTGGCTCATCTGAATGACGTGATGTGGAAGAGTGGCGGCCTGTGTTGCCATGGTTTCTGTGGTCACGGGATGATGAGTGTCGCCCTCCATGGCTATACTCATCTTGGGGCCAGAGGTCCTCCTCAGGAGGCTCTTCGTATTCGTGGTAGGTGTGTTTGACACCATGCCGACTCCTCCCAGATGAGTGGCTGCTGCCGTAGTGTCGAGAACTGGAGCGAGGCTTCTCAAACCAATCAGTTTCTTCTTGGCCCAGATGGTAGGCTTTGGAAACCGAGAGCAGATCACAGTCAATCTCCATGTCGTTTGGAGACAGCGGCATGCAGGCTGAAAGAAGGAAAAGGGCAGGAGGAAGACCAACCGCATGCGAAAAAATAAAAGGTGGGAAAGACAAGAAGAAAGGCAAAAAAAAAGTTTTACAAACATGCAGTCTTTGACTTGAGACAATACAAGACTAGATAAACACGATATAACAAACACTGCAAAACAATCTAATTTAAAAGCTGTATTTGTTCAAAATTAATGAACAATGACAAGCAGGACAATGTTCGCCAAATAAACCAGTAAATCCAGGTTGTATTTTTCCCTATCATTATTTCAGTGCTTTGACTGAATTGATTCAGCAGCCAAAAATGACAGAGATATAAGAGATTGTTTAGCAGTGTTTACACCAATACCAACAAAACATCAGTGCCAAGAACATACTTAAGAACATAAAAACCCTTTGAAAACACACACAATGCCTTGGTGTCGTGCAGTGACCTCTCAGTGAATCAGAGTTCAGCGAATGATAAAGGTGACCACGTCAAGGAACCATGCGAGAATTGAACAGACAGACGACTGGACGTACAGGCGAGAGGACGAACGGGCAGGCAGACAGACAGACAGCAGTCCACTGATAAGAGAGCTCCAAGTGACTCAGGAAGATGACAACATTGGCATGCAACGGCTATCTCTGTCTCTGTTTTGCTTTCTCTTTGTCTTTGCTAGGCCTAGCTTCTGGGTGGGTGGGGGACGTTTAGATAAACGGTGGGAGCAGTAGTAGGTAGTGAGACTGTGTGAGAGTTCAGCTCCCACAATTACCTTCACTGTCAGATACAGCGCAATGATAATCGTCTATTATGTATGTATCATCCGATTTGTAGACGTGTGTCCGAGGAAGGTCCCTTATGTGGTCTTGAACATCTGGCAGTGAGTGACTGGAACCATACTGGCCATAATAGTATTGATATCTACTGCTGCGACTTTCATATGGGTCGGGACCTAAGCTTGAAGATCGCCCAGAGCCCATGAACTGCCCCAAGGGGCTCAGTGGGCTCTCCTCCTCTGAGTATTGCCGGGTTGGGTGACGTCCCCTGTAGCCAGATCGGTAGGAACGGTCATCTCTCTCGTAGGATCGACTGCGATACCCATGGTAGTCCTTGGAAGAGATCTTGTCCATGCCGTAGCCAGTGGAACGGGAGCGGCCAGTAGGGGTGTAATAAATCCGATCGTCCTCTTCCACCATCATACGATTGTATCGACTACCATGAGTAGAGCCGCTGCCTCCATCATAAGTATTCCTTTTGAATCCGTAATCCTCAATCAGCTGGCGCCCTCGAATGTGGGAGGAGGGGTATGCCCCTCCTGTCACTGAGGAATACGAGGCTAGATCTGCCTCCACATCCCGAGCCTCCTCAATTGGAGAAAACTTTGAGATTTTCTGCTCCATACTTCCCAGCTTCCTGTGCTTGCTGCGCTTGGAGGACATGACTGCAGGAGCCAGAAGGCTTCTGGATGATAAAGGTTTTTGTACCCCGGAGCGGATGCTGCCATGTTTGTAGTCGTAGTCATAGAAATAGGTAGATCCCCCACCCATGCTAGCGCTCACGCTGCTGCTGCTGCCCCCTAGAGGTCCGTGCCTGTAGCTGCTCTTACCCCTGCCGTGATGGTCGTACAGCTCATCCTGCATCGCTGCTTCCTCCTCAGGTGCCCTGCCGTAAGGGGAGCTTCCAATTCCCCCACGCGTAGTGCTTCCAGCGGTGCTGCTGTGGCCATGGATTTCACCCGGGTAACGCCCACTGCCACCATGATGCATCATATCCCCCGTTGTCGTGCCCAGCCCATCCTTTGCCGTCAGCTCGCTTACATCATCAATCATCATGTAGTTCCTTGGAATATTCTGTTCTAAGCCTGGAGCCCCATACATTCCATCTGCTGTGCTGAAGGTGGACGGAATGTCCACAGGGTGCCCATAAGCATTGGAAACTGTGGAAGTGTACTGTCCATAAGAACTTGCTGTGGTGGTTGTGTAGCCATAAGTATTAGCAGTGGTTGTGGTGTACTGGCCATATGAACTGGCTGAGGTTGAAGTATATGGACCATAAGTGCTTGGTGGCATTGTAGAGTACCCACCGTAGCTGCTTGACACAGGTGCAGAGCCATAAGGTCCATAAGAGCTTGCCATGGTTGTTGTTCCCGTGTACTGACCATAAGATTGGGCCCCACTGGAAAAAGTAGCATCTTGGGCTGTGGTTGTAACAACAACTGTAGGGTTGCTTATTGTCTCATAGTTAGTTGGCATCTTGTGTTCCAGATCGGCAAGTGATGTCTGCCTGGGTCTTCCTGGATGAACTGTCAGGATATCAGCTTGGGGCTGCCCAGGATATGGAGTTGTTTGGTTGGGGTAGGAAGACACAGCACTGGGATAGGGGGAGCTGTGGGTGGGGTATGGTGGCTGACCAGGCGGTGCAGGTGCAAAACCAGTGTGCCCTGGTTGAGGCTGAGGCTGAGGTGCAGCTGGTAACCCCATGTCTGTTTGGGGGTATGGGGGCTGAATTTGAGGGTAGGTGTGAGATGGATAAGATGTCTGAGACTGGTAAGAAGGTCCGGGGGGGGCATGGCTCTGAAGGGGTGTAGGTTGTGGCAATGCCTGCGACTGTGACACTGTTGGGTAAGGAGGCTGGTTGAAAGTGGATGACTGGTATGGAACACTTGACTGCTGAGATGGTGCAGCTGGTTGGCTCTGGGGGTACTGACAGGATAGGAAGGATGAGGTTGGTGGGTACTGGGCTGCTGTGTTGAGGTCGCTGGTAAACTGACTAAGTGGAGCAGTGCTGGGTCTAGTTGTTAGTAGTCCGTTTGTTTCGTGCGATGCAGCTGCAGCTGCTAAACGCAAGTTATTCAACTCACTATCAGACATATAGTCCCGAGTATCGCCCATACATCTTAGGTAGGCAATGTCTCTCCTCTCCCTCTCTTTTACCAATGTCTCTTTCCTCTGATGGATTCCAAGTTCTAAGTATCTCAGTTTAGCGTCAATCTCTTTCTCTTCCTCTTCCAGTTCAGCTTGCTGTTTTCTCAGTTTGGTCGACTCCTGTTCCACAGCCTTCAGCTCATGGGTGAGATCTTTGAGAAGGCTAGCTTTAGCGGCCAGGCCAGACCTTGAGCTGGGCTTGTGGCTGGGCACGGAGGGTAGGTAGGCCTGTTGGAGGGCAGGCGTCATCATGGGCAGGTGAGCTGATGTAGTGGTCTCCTCTGGAGGAGGACTGGGCAGGGTTCGCTTTACCTTGCGAAGCAGAGAGCTCTGCTGTAAGGCCACCAGCTGAAGAGAGAAGAAGAGAGGGTGGGGGTGGGGTGGGTTTGGGGACATAATAACAACATACAAAAAGAAAGGGAATGTTTGGTAAAAAAAAAAAGAAAGAAAGAAAGAAAAGATAAGAAAAACATGGTGAGGAAAATAATCAATATGAGACAACAATTAGATAGCGCATAAGGATAGGGATGCCATATCAAAATTGGTAAAAGTATAGATTGAGAAAAACAAATGAGTGAGTTGCCAAATCAAAATGTGAGACAGAGAGGGATCATAGATGAGGGAACGAAAAAGACACACAAAAGCATGAATGAGTCAAGACAACAAACAATGGATACATGAAATGTGGACAAAGATTAGTGAAGATGAAGAAAGGTAAGAAGAAACACAGGAAAAAAATACAAATGAGAAAATAGAATTAGTTCACAGGAAGTAAACATAATTGAGTGAGATTTATGGAGAGGGTTGGCAGTTGGAGAATTGTAGTTGAAAAAAGTCGGAGGACCAAAATGGATACAAAAGATGAAAAGAGCAAGAGGAAGGGTAAGGAGGAAAGCTCAGAAATAGAAAAAAAGTAAACAGAGGATCCAAGGAAAGGACACAACAATGCAGGACATACAAGGAAGACAGAGGACAACATATAGACGAAGAGACGAGGACAACAGGAACAAGAGTGAGGTTTGTGTTAGAAGATGTACAACAATAGGAAAATTAATGGAAATTATGATGCAAGTTTCTGGTAATGTATTTGCTCATAATGCACACATCTTACATATTTTTAGGAACCTATTGCTGAGTAGTTGCTCTCAGGGTTTTAAGATTAACTGCACTTTACTAATTACATTTTTATATCACTAAGAATACATAAATAAAATCCAAGTGACAAAAATCCAAATCCAAAAATGCTTCTATAGCTTTAAGTGAAGAAAGCTTTTTTATATGAGACGACTGTCACATAACCTCTTATGAACTTAAAGCATATAACATCATTTAAAAAATAATTGCTTCCTTTTGTTAGCAAGAGAGACGATAATGATATGTTCAACAAGCTATGGAAGTTTTGACTTCTGAGCCGCAGTCAAAGGAAGGTGTAAAAACAAAAAACAAAAAGCACATGTTTAAACAGCAATTTATGATCGTATGATGATTTTTTATTAATCATAATTTTTGGGATATTGGACAAGCACCAGGCTCTTTATGTCACTGTTTATTTTTTTGTATAAAGATCCAATAAACGTCTTATTTTCCTTTGCATGCACTGCACATTACAGTGCATGCAACTGAATTAATTCCTAAGAGCAGGAGTGAAGGAGATCTATGAAAGTCCAGAGAACGAAACATGAAAAATCTGTCAAAATGATTTAAATCATCCACATAAAACATTAACTATTTTCAAATACCATTCTTGAATAGAATAATATGTAGAGTTCTTATCAAAGTAACGCAAACGCCACCCAGTAAACACAACTAGGCAACCTAATAATGAGCTCTTGTATTGGTTTGTCAAATGTGAAAAGTTGTTTTATTAGTGTTTTGTTTCAGTGGTCAGTAAATGAATCAAAGGTGGAAAGCCTCTATTCATTATAAGCCATCACTTGACTAGATGAAAAATCTGCAAAAAGAAAAATATAGAAATGTGTCTGTTAATTCCTCTGGAGAAGCAGATGATTTCTTTTTTTTATCCTGAATCCCCTCGGGTCATTTCCAGTTCACAGTGATTAAGCATATTAGTCTAACTCATGAAAACTGTGTTATGAGGTGATTGGAAGTTCAATTTTTAAACCAAGATTGTGCTGCTATAGTTCTCACAAAAAAACGAACAAAAAATCCAGTTTACCCCAAATACTACAATACAAACACAACCAACACTGTATACCATGAACTCATAAGGGAATGTCCTCATTCCCAAAGCATGCACACCTGGAGTTTTATCATACAGAGAGATACGAACTGTAACTACAACACATTCAATGAGTATGAAACTTTTATTTACTGAAAGAACAACTGCACATAAAGAGTAAAAATGTCAGCAATTGAAAAGCCACTCAGGGAGTGAGTTTTAGCAGAGTGTCGTTATATTACTGATATGTCATATGCTGAGCTCAGATTATTGCAAAAGCTGCCCTCAATACCAGCCTTTGGTGCTTTGAATTTTGCAATTTAAAATTCACCTTCTTTGCATTTTAACAATTCTGTTTAAACTAAAATTTGACTCTGCTTTTCCTATTCTATCCATCTGTCCATTTATACCACTTACCCAGCTGTCATTGTGTGAGAGGCGGGGTACAACCTGAACAGGTCGCCAGTCTTTCTATTTCAGCCTTTCTTAATAATTTTGAAGATATTTCTTATGTGAGCAGATTAGTCTGAGTGACTTTACCTGACTCTGTAGTGCTTGTTGTTGATACATGGAGATCCTGGCCTTGGTATGCTCATCTGTGGTAGGGCTAAGAGGCTTGGGGTCTGACATGGACCTTTGGGTGCTTTTGATGGGTCTGGGCATTGAGGGGTGTCGCTGGGGGGACTCGGCTGTGTAGGACTTCTGCTGAGGTGAGACGTGGGCCTTATTCAGTCTCTCGCTTGACAGAGAGTTCTCAAGCAGGCGGTGAGGGGACACTGGAGAAACAGGGGAGTAGAGGACTTGTGGAGATTTTGGGGCTGTTTGCTGTTGCCGGATGATGCTGGAAATGGACTCATTGTGGAGATGGTTATGAGGCTGGTAGTTGATATCAAGTGGGTCGGGACGGCGTCGGTCAAACTTGGCTGCATTTGCTGCGATGTGCTGCTGGCGCTGCTGGGTCAGAAGGTCAACTGAACTGGACTGCTGTGTTCCGGTACTGGTAGAGGAAGAATACGGGCTAACTGTTGTTGGCACATTGAGCTGGGGAGGAACGACGCCTTGTGACTGAGCTTCTGGATCAGTCTGGCATGCAAGAGATTGTCCTTTTTGGGTTCTTTCTGGTCCTGAAATGTAGTGCACAATTTCAACTTTGTTAGGGTCGGGCACTGTGACATGGATTGCTGGGGAGACTCTTCCTAGGTGTTCTACTTCCGTCTGGCAAGACATTTCCCTGATGGTCTGGATGGCAATACTGGAGGAAACCATCTTTTCAGCTTTGTTATCAGTAGTTGAGGTGGTTGTTGTTGCGGAGCTGCTGGAAGCTGCGCTGGACTCAGTATGCCGAGAGAAACGGGAACGTCTTCGGCGGACTGGATGCTCCATTTCAGCTTTGTCATCATCGTCATCCGTCTGGACAGAGCAGTCAACGCTGCGTCCACGCCTCCTGGTGCGGTGTCGCATCATGTACCTGGAGCAGGTTTAAGAAAAAATAAAATAAATTAAACAACAACTCACTCGTTAGTTTAAACTTTTTCACAATTATTTGGGGCTGTACAAGTTTTTTATGCTTTAACACACAAAAAAGACAAAACACACCTACGCTTAAAATAAGCTATAGTGTAACAAGAGATTACAACTGTATCTTGATGGAGCACAATAATTCTTGTGTAACTGCATAAAGATAAAAAAAACATATCCTTAACCAGCCTACAAAATTTTTAAAAGCCAGGAGTATTCATAAATGATCTGCTTGTATGTATCTAGACATTGTTTAGAGGTTTTTAACTTTTTTTTAATGACAAGAAAACTAAAAGTAACCCATGCTTTAGAAATGTTTACAAACACACAAGTAGTTTAATTTTTCGTACATATCATAGATGTAGGTTCCCATTTTTTCACTGCACACAAATCTTTACCTCTCCTCCCCATCTTCATCATCAGTTTGTACACAGCTATCCACAATCCTGCGGGGGGAGCCATACAACACCACACCATCTCCATCCAACGTGTCCCTGCTCAGCCTGCTCATGGAACTGTGTTTCCTCATACTGGCTCTGGACTCCACATGCTCCTCCTGGGTCCTCAGACATATCTCAGAGGAAGAGTTGGGCAAGGAACGAGAGCTCATCTGAGACTCCATGTAGGGGTGGAGTGGTTGTCCATGCACATCCAACTACAGGCGAAAAAACATTTGTTTAAAAGATTGTAGGTACTGAAATAGTCTTACAAGTGAAGAAAAAGCAGGACAGGGTTGATATTCAAGTCTTAGTTCAAAGATGTGGCATTAAAAAGTGTCAGACACAAGAAATTAGGCAAAATTGTTTCACTCAAAGTTTGGAATTTCCATTTCGTATGGATTTTGTATAACTTATAAACTACAACCAGTATTAGTCACTCCACTCACCTGCGTGCTTTGAGCAGCAGCTGTTTTCTGCCTTTTCTGCTCTACCAGCTGCTGTTGGAGCTGCTGCTGTAAAGACTGGATCTGATCTAGCTGGGACCTCTGCTGGGCCAGCTGCTCCCGCTGGAGAACAAGTTGTTTCTCACGTTCATGCTGCTGTTGCTGTAGAACCTAAAAAACGCATACAGAAAAGGCCAGGCAGAAGGGTGTGGTGAAGAACAAAAGAAAGATGAGGCAGAGGAAATAAGTGAAACAATAAAAAAAAGAGGTTGATAAGAGACAGTTTGGGAAAAAGCAGACAAAGAGAGGAAGGATGGAAAAAGACACAGTTTGACTGCATTAAAAATGATCAGCACAAAAATGCCAACCAAATCACAATATTCACTGAACAGAATGTGGCATGAGGTTCCTCTTGTGCTGATGGATTAGTTTCAAAATGATTTCAGGTTAGTCAGATTTGTATATTTAGCTAAATCAAGAATGGAAGCGCGACAGAAATTAAATAAGACATGTACTGGTTGTTGCTGTTACTAGTCATACAATGCTCATAATAAAATATTTTATGTATTTTCTCTAAAGCTAAAATGACAGGCTGATGCAAGTAAAGGGTTAGGTTTCTGCATGTTATGCATGTTATGAGATGCATAATCATTCCATTTCTAGTTCATTCTCATTTCGGAAGGCTTCCACACCTGTTTAACTGAGTTAACTTGAAAGATTTTCAACTGCTTGTTCTATTAAAAGAAGGAGAAAATAGTTATGTTAGCTCTTTCGTTAACTGCTACAACATTTTGCAGTGATGCTAGAGGATGATTAGAGAATTACATCCTAATGTAGATAGTCAACTTTTACAACTTCAGTCAAATTTTCTTTTAGTCACAAGTCAGACCAACAAAGGAAACATAAAACCAGTTTCAATGTTTTTCTGATCATAAACGAACAAATCATAAATCAATCATGGGCACCATATATTCCTGAAACACAGTACAGGGATTTTCATGCACCCTCATAGAATATTTCTAGGACAAAATATCGCATGCAAACAGTAGATCTGTCATAACTTAAGCCAGACACAAGCTTTTCTTTTAAGAAAAATAATTCTTGGGTCAAGTCATGAAACGTAACTATCAATTTTAACAGTTTAAACACCAACCTCTGAAGATATCAAATTTACTTTTTGGATGAAAAGAAAGAAAATCTCCAATAAAGCTGTCACACTGACAGGAAGCACATGCATACAAATAAATAAAAACGTGCATATACAGAACTTTTGACATAATGATTATTTTTGGCAGATAATGCATTGAAACTGCAGATTCAAACACTGAAAAACAATCTCAAGCACATGGAATAACACAGAAAAATAAACCATGTAAAAACCAAAAACTAAGTAACACTGTAACCACAAGTAACAACTAAAAAAATAATAAAACACAAAAAAGAAACTTATGTTCATCACAAGACACCAGACAATAAAACACCAACTTGTCAACTCTTCATTCCATCTCCTGATTTTCCCTCTACCTGATCCTTGATGTTCTGTAGCTCCTGTAACTCTCTCTGCACCAGCATCTGCTCCTTCTCCCTGTGTAACCTGAGGTCCATCCTTTCGCGTTCAAGCTCCTCCTGCAGACGCAGTTGCCGGAGTTTCTCGAGCTCCACACGTTCTCTCTCCATTTGTAGCAGCTGCTCCTGCTGTCGGTGAAGCCTCTCTGCCTCAGTTTCACCTTCCTTGTGTATGGCACCTGGTGGGGGGAAGGTTGGAAGACCACCTGAAATGGCCAAGCCACTGCTGGGGACAGAGGGGCCTCCTGGGGGTTGGATGTAGCCATGGGTGAGTGCAGAACACAGAGGTGGGTAGGCTTGGGCAGCAGGAGGAGCCTGTGACTGCTGAGCAGTTGCAGCCTGTTTCTGTTGCTGGCTGCTTAGGTGTGCTTGGGACAAGTTTATTGGTTGCTGCTGTTGCTCAGATGGTATGACAACTGTTCCTGGCACTGAAGTGACCTCTGCTGATGAGGAAGTCACAGTGGCACCTTTGCCAAGATACACAGGTTCATCCTGGACTGATGAGCTTGCAGCCGTCACAGAAACAGACACAGAGGCTCCTATGGGTGCTAAAGTGGCTGCTACAGCGGTGGTAGTGGCAGTGGCTGAAGTTGTCTGAAGAAGGCCTGGTGCTGGGTAACGAACTGGTGCTTGTCCAGTCAAAGGCATTCTGGGTAGTCTGGTAAGACTAGATAGGGGTACGGGCATCATGTTGGGGGAAGGATATGGTCTGTAGACTCCTCGCAATAGTGGTCGAAGGACAGAGGCAGGCTGAGTTGTTATCGGAAGTGTTGATGCAATGGGGGTCTGAATGGTGGAGTAAATCATTCCATCTGAAGACCTAATTGCAGCAGGGTACATGGCTCTTAGACTTGCCTGTCTGGCATTGATGAGGTTGGTTAGGGCTTGACTGTGAGAGATTGGCTTCCCATCAAGTCCAAAGAGAAGGTTTTGCCTCATGCCAAGACCTGCTGCAAGTCTGGCTCCAGGACCAGTATTTCTCCCCAGGCTGCCAAATTGCAAGTCTGGATTACTTCCATACCGATCCATGGAATTAAGTGCCGCACACATCCGGCTAATCTCTCTTGCAGTTGTAGCACTATACTGAGCCAAATTAGCTTCTTGGAAGCTGGCAATGTCACGAGCAGAATAACCATAATCTGAACTGATATTGGACAAGGAATTGTATCTTCTAATGGGAAGCACTTGGCCTGCAATGTCTCCTCCATGCCGTAAATCTGTATAGGATCCATATTGCATCCCCATATATCCTCCATAGCTCTGTTTCATGGCAGTTAAATCCACTGCAAGATCACCTGAAGGTTGGAGATGTGGCTCAAGTTTAGAGTGGTAGGATTGTAGGCTAGCATCGGCAAGGTTTGTATCAGACATTGAAGGCTGAAGTCTACCAGGAAAAGGTAGTGTATATGCCTTATGTGCATCCATTTGATACTCATGGTAGCTTTCAGGTTGTCTCTCTTGGTCAGAGTCATAGGTGGTCGGTGGGGCTGATGGTGGCCTTATGCCTTCTTTCTCAGAAGCACCAACACAGCTTCCACCAAATGGAAGTCTGTAAACAACATCACAGCAAGCTGGTTGGTTGTCAGGTTTAATTTGGCCTCCCGTCAGATCCACGGCATCCTGCCCTTCTTCAACCTTTACAAGCTGAGTCACTGCTCTAACTGACTCTAATCCTCCATCCATCTGCACTACCATACTATGTGGTGACATTGACATTGAACCCGGAGGACTAGGTTTTCCTTTCAGCTCAATTGGACCAGTGCCGTATAATTCAGGGTTAATAACTGGTGATACAGCACTAACCACAGCCGAAGCAGTGTTAGTCTGACTCACTATAAGGTCTTTTTTGAGTAAAGGTGAGATCTGACCAGTAAGGTTGTACCTGGAAAGAACAGATGTCTGTTGTTGCTGATGTTGTATGTGATGGTGTTGCTGTAACTGTTGTTCAAGCAGCTCTTGCTGTTTTTGCAGCTTCTCTTGTTGCTTTTGAAGTTCTCTCTGCTGGATACTGAGGTCTTCCAGTTTGGCATCAATTTTGGGTATTGATGGATCAGTTGGAGGAGAAATTGGTGGTTTGTTCTGAGAAAGACACACTGCTGAGCCCATGCCCTGCCCAAGGTCTATCCTGTTTTGATGGGGATCACCATACACCATTGACTGTTTGGGCTGGGTTATGAACATAGAAGCAGCCACGGTGACACTCACAGTGGTTGGTGTTGTGGTCTCCTGTGTATTCAAGTTCATGATAAGTGGTTGTACAATTGTTGAATGTCGGCCGCCCTCGGATCCACCATGGTATTTCCTACTTTCTGTGGCTAAGGAAGTGAGATCCATTCCCTGATCAGTCATAATAATTGGAGCTGGTTTGGTGGCTGTCCTTAGATCCACAACACTTCCGCCTTGGATCATACGGCCCTGTTCTACCCTTGAAGTACCTGGGACTGTGGATATTCTACACAGGGAGATATTATCCATTGACATGGACCCTCTGGTGTATATACTCGTTGTGGTAACCATACTTGTTCCCACATTAACCTTCTCCACTCTTTGTGTTCGATAAAAGCTGCGTGTCGGAGAATGTTGGTAAGGTGGTGTGTCTGGTGGGCTGCCACATGGTGAGTAGGCTTCAAATGTTGACTGGCGGCTAAATCGAGTTGGTGATGATAGGGGTGAAGTAGCAGTGTTTACTGTCATTGGCTTAGCTGGGCTTGCTGGTGGGGAATATGGGGCATCCTGGGAAGACTGCTGCCGATACAGTCGTGGAGAAACTGATCGATGGGATGTTTGGGTTCCCTGAGCCATCACTGGAGAATTTGGCCCTGAACCAGCTGAGTCCATTCGTAATGCAGAGCTGAAAGTCTGTGTGGAGAACTCAGCAGTAGCCCTTCTGGAGGGAGAACGGGTTGGACTCTGTGGTGGTGGGGATGGAGAGAGAGGAGGACTGGTGCTTCTGTAGTAAGTAGTATACTTGGGAGAGCGAGGCTCAATAATCCTCTCGGTAGAGGATGTTGAGCTGTCCCGAACTTGCACACCCCTGGTTTCCCCAACCCGTCTGGTGATCACTTCTCTTTGACTGTAGGCCTGGGTAATCTCTGCAATCTTGCTGCAAACACTTGAAACAGTAGCTGATGAAGGGGCTGAACTTCCTGTATGTCGACGGCATATATCAGATTGGGTCGATGTGATAGTGTTGCTTGAACCACTTTGGGAAAGAGTTACAGCATCTCTGGCATAAACTCCATAAGCTGCGATAGTAGTTGCAGCCACAGCTGGAGATATTCCATTCTTTCCTGCTTGGCTTTTGATCTTATCTTTGTGTCCATCCTTTGAAGTGAAGTGCTGGCTTACTCTAACATCGGGTATCCGCCCCCCTGTCTCGGCAAAGGAGACAGGAGCTGAAATTTGGGTGGGGCTGGTTCCCGGAGTTAAGAGGGCATTGCTTTGCTCCAGTAGCTTGGCAAAGGCCGAGCCTGTATCCAAGAGTTGCTTGTCTGGGTAAGAGCTCTCAATCTCAATCTCTACCTGCTCATCTGTTGCTTGCTGCATCTTGGTGATGTTCTGAGATGTTTGCCGGATCTCTTCATAGATATCTGTTTCTGTCTCTGCAGCCTCATTGTCATATCCTGATTGATCTTGTTCATAGTCATACTCATCCTCATAATTTTGGCCATTGATGTCCTCCTCATAATACTGACCGTGTCTTGCATGTTGCTGTTGTTGCTGTTGTTTTTGAAGCATCTCTGCCTTCCTCATCATCTCTTCATAAACTTCCTCAGCACTCTTCAGAGGTTTGGAAGACGAAGATGGTGCACTGGTGGTTGTTGTTGTCGAAGATTTCTCTACCGATGAGTAGAGAGACATAAAGGTAGGAAGGTTGTACTCACTGCCTGATTTGTACAGTTTTGATTCATATCCCTCAGCCTCTGAGTCCAGACTTTGGGGGGAGTACTCAGAAGCAGAGGAACGATGAAGCTCTTCCATTTCTGCTGCTTGTCTCAGTTCTTCTGTTGGGGAAGCATCTTCAATAGGTGAAAGATTGCTGGGTGGTGTCTTTGACCTTTCTCTACGCCTTTGTGCCCTCAGCTCCTCCTTGTCCCTTTTGGTCTTTCGTGCCGTGCTTCTTATTCTCTGTTGTTCTACCTCTCTCATCTTCTCTTGCTCTCTTAGAAGTTCCTCTTCCTCTCTCAGTTCGTCCTCTTCTGAAGAGTCTTCAATGGTGGGAAGCAAAGGACCATGAGAGCGGTGTCGTGCTTTCCTCTGCTGCTTGGCCTCTTCCAGTCTTTGCCTCCTGCTTGGACTACTATCACTGTCTTCCTCCATCGATGATATCGATGTAGGAGACTGACCTGAGCCATATGAGGATGAAGTCGGTGGTAGAGTTGAAGAATAGTCACCTCTGGAGCGCTCCTCAGGAGATCCTGTTAGACTCTCCATCTCCAGTTCTGGTTCCCGATCAAGGCTTAAGTCATTTTCATTGCTCAGCTCCATATCTCGACTGTAGCTATTGGTGTTGTTAAGTTCAATCGTTTTGAAACGCCTCAAGCCACCTTGTGATGCCATTACATCTTCCTCACCCTCTTCCACTGACCCTTTATAAACATCAGTAGAACTCTTTGTTTCCTCCTCAAAACTACTAGAGTGGTGTTGAAGACGCCTTTTTTCCTTCCCTGAGTCAGACACTATATGTTTATGGTGGGTTTTCTTAGGTTTCTGGTAGCCATAACCTTCATCTTCTTCATCTTCATCTTCTTCCATCTCTTCCTCTTCCTCAATGTCTTCATCAGCACTCATTTCCATTATTTGTCTCCTCATGAACTCCTCATCCGTCATTTCTGAAGGTTCAGCTTCCTTTTCCTTCTTTTTCTTTTCTTTCTTTTCTTCCTTCCCTTCTTTGCGTTTACTTTCCCAGTCTACGACATCTTCTTCTTCCTCCATTATGTCCTCTAGTTCCTCATCAGAATCATACGCATCCGGTGGAATTGAAAGAGAACGTGGACGTTGCTTTCCTCTCTCATCCAGGTCTCTGTCTCTATGCTTCCTTCCCCTTCTGTCTGACTTCTCTTCGGAGAGGCTCTTCTCCAGCAGTGGCCTCATGGAGCTCTCAAGCTTGGTGATTTCAGAGGGGCTAGGTGGAGAGCCACGTCCGCTGATCCCTCTCTCACTCAGTTTCATCTCCTCCTCTTGAATTAGACCTGTAATTTCACTGTGGGAGCTGGAGATGCCATCAGAGGAATAGCCGGTGTCACTGAGGCTTTGAGGGCTGCGTGACAAGTCATGGGTACTGTTGTTTTTTGTATCCTAAAGAGGAGAGAAGAAAAGGAGAATGGTATTAAATTTAAGGGAAAAGAGCTATCTAAAACAAGGTATAAATTGATATATTTCTACATTAAATTCATGTATGAATTTATTAGTTTAAAGATGTGGTATTTAAGTCCTAGAGTAGATGATGGGAATTTATTGCTAAAAATAGTTTTTAAAACTTTAAGGATGTTTGAATATGTATTCATATATGTTGACCGAATTCTGGACTTGGAATTAAAAAAAATAATAAAGCAATAAGACTGGAGGCCCCTCTCAAACCCCTTCTTAAAATACATTTTGGTGAATTCTGTGCAAGCTCCTTTAGATATAATTTTGGGAAATTTCTATTCTAATTTAATAGGTTTTTAATGACATTTGATCAATGCAAATTATACATTATTTCTAGAGCATTAACCATCAAGTAATAATTGGCTATGCATATATGTGCATATTTCACTTTAAATAAGGAGTTCTCATTAAGTTTGAATGATTAGAATGGTGTGAAACTTCGTTACTAAAGTTATCATGCAGAGTGGCACATTTTAAAACTGAAAATTGCTTAAAAGCAAGCAAATCACTGTTCACTAAAAATGATTTGATTAAAATATATTCTGTATGACTATTTTAGTACTTGTGCCACTTAAACTTTAAAGAATCATTCATACATTTCCAGATTTTTGCTCAACGGCATGACAAATGCAAAAGAGACAGCATTGAATTCACAAAAATCTCATGACAAGACAAAAAGCCTACACATCTTGTTTCAGATTTACAATGACAGCAGAACTGGAAAACAATGAGTGGTTTAATGTTATTATCAATGTACTGAATCCAAATAATCAATGTGGGACTGAAACAGCTGTAGCTGGCTTTTGAATAAAGTTCCTAATGTGGGATTTAATTAATAAAATCAAGATGTATTAAACAGCAGCACAATTTAACACAGTTTTACAGCATTTTACAGTTACAGAGTTTGTGTAAATGTGTAAAATGTATGAGCCATTGATGAAAAGAGATTAGTCAAGGTAGGGTTTATTCATGAGTTAAATATTTTGGATACCGAAGTCAATCAGAATTACACATTAACATGGCTAAAACATGAAAGCTCCTTAAAACTCATTCATCATTGGCTCTGTCTTAGATGGTGGTAATAACATGCCAAATCTTAATCTGGAAGGGACTAACCTGGTAAATAATGTCTTGATGATTACAATACTTTAAAATTATGTACTTTGAGCTTTCTTGACTTTCTTTTCTTAACAGGTTCCAAGATATTAAGGTCTGCACTGCACTTACAGTACTCAAAGTACAGGAATGAAGAGTTTAATATAATCATGTCATGTGTGTCTTCAAACAGTGAAACTGTGAGAAAAGGCACTGTTTCACTTGTTTGCTCCTGTGTCTTTCTCCTTCACTCTGTCTTCTCTGAAGGTAATGCATGAATGATTTACTGCCACTTGAAACCTGAGAATACTGTGAAGAGGGAATGACAAGTTTTATGGACACCAATGTATATTCAACAACACAACGGTAAAACAAAACTCTGACTGCGCTATGATCACCAATGCGGATAGAGTTAAAGATGACACACTGAAATGATGGGTGGCAGAGATTGTTTTTTTAATGCTTTACAAATAGAAAAATGGTCTTTGGAAACCTCCGCAAGAAAAAGAAAAAGTAAGGTACAAGCTTAATTTAAGGTAGTAAATATAGCAAAAATCTATAGTCCAGACTGGGCAATAGAATAAGCATTTGACGGAAAATAAATAATTGAAGCCTACGGTAGTTATTGAGAGAAAAGACTATACAAGTAAAGTGCCAAGAAAATACAGTCAGACGGGTTTTCATTATATTGTAAACAAGTAGGTGATGCCAATCATATCATATTAAATCTTAGGGCAACCCCACTTGCTACTGTAATCATGACCTTCGTGTAATAAATGCATTTTCAAATAAAACAAGCAGTCGTCATCTTTGACAACAACATTTTACGATGGAATTTTGTTTTTCATTTTAACTGTAAAAAAAAACAAGCCTGATGGATGAGTGTACTTTTTATAAGAGAAACATGCAGGTAAAGACTTCAAATATTAATAACAATGGATAAACACATATTTTTGTTATTTTACCTGAAAAAACAGAGTACAACAACTCTGCAAATGAATGTGTGTGTTATAAAAATAGTTTGGTTAGTTTTCACATGTACTCTGGATCTGTTCACGGAAACCTTTGCACTGTGATGATAAATGTAACCTAAATCAAGTCACATGATACACAAAAGACAACAAGTGTTTTTATGTTTTGGGAGTTCTATATTGGTTTGCCATTCTGTATCATATTTGTACTCTGGTAGTGTGCCACTTCTCTGTCATCATGGAAAACAGTAACAGTTGCAGCTCTCTCGTCACAGTGAAAACTACAAAGAAAACAAACATGTCTTTCAAGCAACAGGTTCTGTTTCTGTGTATGTGACGCTGCATGGATGAATCCTTTAGAGGGAGCATAACTGTTTGGTTTTGGCTGCCTCGAAATAAGGATCTGGTGAGCATAACATAATGTCAGAATGAATGAATGAAATTAGATGATACGTCAGTCTTATTATCAAAGTGGCCATCCGGTCGGTGCGCTGACATGGCTTGGAAGTCGACCATGTACAAAATCCTATAGACCACTTTACTGTGATACTGAACACAAGCAGAAGTTTCCATTAAGCTCATGAGGCTTGATGGAAACATGAAGCACTGTCACACTGAAACAGGCCCAGAGTTTCAACCCTCATCCTGCAGTCATGCATGTTGTATTTCAAGCACATGAGACTGTGTGTTACTCTGTTTTCATTGAAAAATATCGTTAGTATTAAACTGTTAATATGTTCTATAGTTTCTCAGTTTAGCATGTAGAGTTGTAAGCAGAACAACATAAATCTGTATTTAACGGGAAGTAAAACAAACAAGTTGGACTTACGTCATAATGCCTGGACTTCTTAATCTCTTTGATTGGCGTAATCTGCTCTCCTTTCTTCTGGGATAGTTTTGTCTCTTTGGGGGTTTGGATCTCGTGCTCTGTCTTGGGCTTCGCCTCTGCTGGTTTTGGCTGTTTCTGGGTCTCAGTGGTTGGTACTGATGCTGTAACTGGTGTTGTGGTCTTGGCATCAGTTGGTGGCTTGGCAGCCGTTGGTGGAAAGGGTCCACTGACACCACTACCAGCCTGCGGTTTCTGTGTTTGGAGCTGGGCTTGCTTGGGCCCCTGCTGAGCAGGGGGCTTGTGAAGAGGGCTTTGCTGACTGGTTGTCGCCGTTTGACGAGGTGAGCCCATCGGTTGGTGCTTGGGAGACAAATGTGGAACAGGTAGAGGAGGTTCATCGAGACCGCCTCCTGACATCAGACGCTGAGTTTGGCAGTTGAGACATAACCACTCTTTTTTCTGAATAAGAAAGGCAAAAAAAAGAGAAAGAAGCAGTTTATGATTAATCATATTCACCGCAATTTTTTTTTGTTGTACTATGGATGTGATAAGAAAAGAAAAACATGGGTGACACACACAAAACCTTTTAGGTAAAAATATGTATAAATGGTGAAATCTTTTATGCTTTTTATGTTTTGAGAGGGTTGTTTTAAAGTGTCAACGCTAAGCCAGAGAGCAGGTGTCATACGAGTAATTATTCATTTAGGAATGAATACATTTCTAAACATTTCAACAAATTTAGATTAAAATATGGTAATGGGAACATTTAAGTGATATATTGCCAGTTTGGATAATAGAAAGCTCTCCAACGCTCAATAAATAGATACAATAACACCATCAAATTGTGGAAACTGCAACACAATCAAGATTCCAGATGTGCATGTTTAAACAGGATACAGGAGCACATTTAACTGATACCATTCAACGTCCTGGTTTAAATACCACTGACAACTTAATTATCAAAATGATATTGTCAACATTACACATGTATATCGCACCTGAATAGCTGTCTGCATGAGGAAGTGCACACACATTCCCATACGATGCACACTGGGCAATCTTATTTCTGGACAGGCTGTCAGATCTGTAGCAGGCTAAGCAGAGCCAAGGGAAGTGTCTTAAAGGCCAAGTCGGTCTGACAGCTACAACCCATTTTCATCCCATCAGCTTCCCTCACAGAGCTTCACATGTTGATAGACTGACTAAAAATTTAGACTAAGCTCCCCATCACGTATACTATCTTGGATAATCTCTTAATTTACTCTGTTCTGTTTAAACGGCCTTATTGGGCAAACAAAAATGCTTGCCAAATGTTGTTAAATAATAAACTGACTTGGAAAGCATTTATGACTTATATGTAGCAGAAGAAATATAGATTAACTCAATCTTACATCGTCTAACTAAAACATTTGATTTATTTTGTGACTAGTTGTAGTCACTCTTATGGGGGCTACAAAACCTGAATGTTTTGGTTCGTGGCAGTGTCACCTCAGTCGAGTCATGCAGTCGATGCAAAAGAGGTTTTATCCATCAGATTGAACAAACTTCTTCCATTGTTTGTGTTCTCACAGGCAATGCCAGCAGTGGACACTGGTCACACTAACACAGACCAACATGGGTACCATGGCCACTGTGTGGCCAGCCAATCAGGTTACCCATGTCAGTAGCCATGTCAGGGCCAACCTTCCTAACATGCATCAATGCGCTTTAGATCTCAGAGGCCCCATCATCGGTTTACTGGGTTTACCTTCTTGTATTGCTTTTGCTATGTCCGAAAAATATTAGAAAAGAAACATCCCAGAAAAATAGCTGCTTCTTTGCTATGATCCCGCTGTCTAGACACAAAAATTTGACCCACGGCAAGGTCGCTCAAAACCTTATGTCTGACTATTTTTCTGTTTCCGACATGTCAACTCCTGAGGCAGAAGGTTCAATTCCTGCTGGATACATGCCACCCACTGCCAGATGCCACTTCAGTGAGATACTCAATGATTTTCACTCAAGCCATCATCGGTCAAAATGCTCTGGTGGAGTGGTGATCATTCAGACAATTATTTGGCCTTTACTGTCTGTGGCTCATGGGCTGTGATACATATTGCTAAAGCCCTTCTACATTAATCCGCGAGCTGTTATCGTTGTCTGCCTCATGGTACCAAACAAAAAGGGTAAAACTTTAGAGTATTCGTGTGGAAACAGCAGTGTGCTGTAATGATGCATGACACATACAGATACAAGATGAAAACAGCTTCAGACAGTAGGAGGATTGGTTGGATGGCAGTCAAAGCAGCTAAAGAAAACAGAGGAGGTGAGCAAAAGAGAAAACTAAATAGATCCAAGAGAGTACAATGTAAAAGGGAATGTCAAAGAACAGAAAACATGGTCAAAACCAGCAACATGGGATCAGGCAAGCTGATAAAGGTTGAAGGTGGAGAGCAAGATCAACAGGAAGTACCAGTAAGCCTACATATGATGGAAACTAGTAGAAAGGTTTTTAAACCAAAACAGGAAACAAGTAACCTTCAATGACACAACAGTGGCAGAAAATAACTGTAATTGACAACTCTATCAACAAAAAAGAAAAAAACAACTTTGAGGCTTTTTTTTCTGTTGGTTCATCGCACAAGTTATCCCTAAACTGTCAAAATGGTGAAGATCATTGTAACAGTGTAACATTTTTAACTAAAAAAAAAAAAAAAAAACTGTACATTACAAAGAAGTGAAGAGGGAGACAGAAATACGGCATCACAGGACAGGGTCAACATAGTCACATATTTAGAGTTGTACCACAGAATTATGAGAATTTAGTCCATTATGCTTTTGCATAACTTCTTTTGTTCTCAGTATCTTTCCACTTGCCACCAACATCTGTTTTTTTCTATTATATTGTGTCTGTCTTTATCCTTGAAAGCTAATGTTATTTGAGGCTATTTTACTAATTTGATGAATAATTGATAGATGCAGCACTCCCTCTTCAACACTTATCTACCATCACAACTCTTCTCCACCTGCTTCTCCTACTAAGCCTCCACTCCTGTTCGTTCTTTCATTAATGACTCTCCCGCCTCTTGAGTCTCCCTTATCTTACTGCCCCTGCAAAACACTGATCTATCCATTTTCTATGATTTTATATGAAAAGTAAAAAAACTTCTGAAGAAAATATAAATCACTGTTGAATAGATAGATTGCAGAATATTGCATAACGCAACTTTCAGTCTTTTGTGAAAATGTTTTGAAATACAAACTTTATCGTACATGGCAAAATTAAACTAAGTGCAAGTCAATTAAATGTCGATGAAAAAATGTCAGCCACAAGCTAAGTGTCCAGCTCCTCTGGTGCATTACTGTGCACTTGCCTCAAACACCATTGACTCATTTTTTGGTCTATAAAGTGTGCTCATTCCTTTCTCTTCCCAGACAGAGTACATCCACGCTTCCAGATTACATCACATGTTCATAGTGTATGTGTGTGTGTGTGTGTGCAGTGTCCTGCAGAGTTTCCCAGCGGTGCCCACTTAACCTATATAGCACAAACAATCTGGCCTTTTCCCCTGCCGCCATCAATGTACACTAACATGCTCCATCAGTCCTATTCACTCAGCAGAGGTGCACCAATCACTTAATTGCGCTCCACCCCATGAATTCACAGTTTATTTTCCTTTTTAAGTATCTTTTCATATAATTGAGCATTGTTGCTTTCCCCCAAATCGGCCATTGAATTGCTCTCTCTTACTGCTCATTTTCTGTCTGTCTTTGTTAAAGTCCTGAATCTCTTTTCATACCTCCTAATGGAAAAAGAAATGGCCCTTTTCATGCATCTGACACTCAAAATGTGTTTCTTTCACCTCTGGACCTGATTTAAGACAAACATACAGCGATGTTGGACCACAGGAGAAGTTTGAGGAGAAAAAAAGACAGGTTTGCTACTACTGCACATGCATTTTCAACTTTAGACTTTATTGAATGGTTTGGGAGGAAAGCGCACCTAAACCTGCATCTAAACAAAGGGCAGAGAGCAAATGAGAGGATTAATCAGGTTCCAAGATCATGCGAGTGATAATTATACATTAAGAGGCAAAATAATGATAGTGGGCTCATTCTTGACTTTTCAGATCAGCAGACAGGATAGGCAGCAGCTAAGTGTGGTCCAGTTCAGGTCATTACGGGTCTGAGCATTCATGTTCATATAACAATATTTTGCATACGTGCAATTATAGGTCATGTCCTGCAAATCTCCACTCCTTCACATGTTAGAATCTCCATTTTGGTCTGCACTTGGTGGGAGTTATTTTAACGATTTTATTTTTACTCTTAATTACTCTCCCAACATTTTCATCTGCAGTTTGTGTAATTCCTCTTTGCACCACACGATCGTTAAACTCCTATCTTGGCCCCCCTCTCATCTCATTGCCTGTCACCCTCAGCTTCCTTTTTTTTCCCATTCCCTCCAACTGAGTAAGGGCTATTTTTACCCAGATACCATTGTTCTGCTTGAGCGCACACTTCCCCAGCGCTGGCTGCCGCTTTAGGCACCACTCTGCTGCAGCACACATAGACTCACGAGCACAAACACACATGTAGACACATGGCTCACATCAATGCAAAATGGAGGAGGCCTTTGTAGCTGTGGGCCTACCAGAAGAAGAGAGGGATGACAAGTAGAGGGAGGAAAGAAGAGAATGAGAGGGGAGGCAAAGAGAAGCCCACTGGGCAGAGTAAAAGAAAATTGGGAAAGTGAGTGATGCCACACGTGTGCATGAGTGCATGCACATATACAGTAACCCAGCTCAGCTTTTAGTGATGGGGGCTCCCTGCTGAGTCTGAAGTAAATGGCTTCAAGTGGGAGCAGAGCAGAGATGACACAGACAAAATAAAGAGAAAGATCCATGAGTGGAGATGTCAGCCGGCTAAAGTAGAGAGGAGACAGCTGCTGCTGAGGTTTCACTCGCTGCTTCCCTAACAACAGCTTTCCAGTTCGGCAGCTGCATAGAACTTTAAAAAATGTGTTTGAGGTGAATGGCTCCCATAGAGGAAGATGGTTCTGTAGATCCACTGGGATTTCCTGCTCATGATGAGCATTCAATTTTTGGAAAAGGATAAGTTAAATGTATGAAAAGTAATTACCATTTTTTAGATGGTGTTATAAAAAACCTTCAGCATTACGTCACACTGAACACATCAAAGAAAGCTGCCTAAACTTGTTCCTACTGACAAAAAATGTTGGGTTCATTGCTGTTACCATATTGAACTTAGGAAAGAATGGGAAAATGGAATAGTTGCTGTGATGGACTGGAGGCCTATCCAGGATTTTTCCCACCAGCCATTTAATGGCAGACAGAGTCCCCTCTGTGACGCCAAAGTGAATAAAATAATAGAGAAAATAGAAAAAGAGATCTCTTTGTAAATCTACCTCAAGCACAAAAAAACAATGAATAAATAAAAAGTTAAACTAACTAAAAATAAC